ATTAAATAAGATTACTGAAAATGTCTTGGAATGCCAATTGACAAGGCCAACAATTGTGCTTCTCTCATATATTTGAATCTCTCATCAGATTAAATAGGGTCAATAAAACTTCAACAAGGGTACATTAGGGTCAAACTTGTGGCATTTCTTAACAACTTTCTATATTTAGTTCTGATTGTGTGTAGCCTCATCCACTAACTTATTTTCCTTTTAATGTATGATAGAATGTTATTATGTACAAACTGTTGCTTATGAAAATGTTGCGCTTACCCTTATGGATACTAAGCTTTTAAGCTGAACAATGATAGTTTCCTGGAAAATGTTCTCAAAGCATTTTCCTCACTGACTCTGGTCTATTCCATGATTCATATCTTGCTCTTCCAATATTAATATCTAAATTGCATGAACATTCCTTTGGGTTTAAGTGAAATTTCTAGACCTATTAACCAGACCTATTAACCAACGAATAGACCTATTCCTTTGCTCATATTTTCCGAAATTCTGGGATGAATCCAGCTCTGTGAAGTTTCCCTGTCACACTTTAATGCTTTGAATTTCTTCTAAATCAGTACAAATAAAATTCTGCTAACTTTTTTGCTTTCACCACCAATTGTAAAGTTGCTGTTGGAAATGGGTTAATCACATTAGTACTTCGAAAACTTTCTTCTCATACCTCTGCCAATAGATTCCAGCACATGCTTTGCTTACAATGGTGTGAGATCCAAATATTGGGGACAACTGGGTGTGAATTGGGGAATGCCAGAGTTTAATCAGTTAAAAAGGTCTAACTATAATAATAATAAACCTTGCATTTGTTATAGTACGTTATCACATCTTCAAGGTAAAATAAAATAATCCCATTCCTTTCTCCAATACCTGTAGCACTTTTATACTCTTGAAATCAGACTGGCTGAAAATGTCTACCGTATAACTAGTTAATTTCCAATTAGTTCATATTATATTTTATCTGTAAAAAGATACACATTTTGAAAGAAATTTTCAAAATACTATGATTACACAGGAACATGGGAAAACAGAAACAGGAGGAGGCCATTAGTCCATCAAACCTGTTCCACCAGTTTTATATTTTGGCAAATCTTTTAAACTCATTGCCCTGACTATTTTCCATAACCCCTTAATACTTCTACCACCAAAATATCAGTCTACCTCACTTTAAAATATTCTCATTAAATACACAGTCACCACACTTTACAGTAAATCCTGTGAAGCTCTTTGAGCCATTTGAGCCACATAATAAGGCATTGTATCAAACGCAATGATTATTATTAAGTATCCTTACCATTAATTAATGTCAACGTACATATGAGTCTTTTTACTTTGGCTCTCAGACCTGCACAGGCTCTTGAAGTCTAAATTTGTGAGTTAATTTCATATTGATGTTGAAATATTTTTAAAGGTTTTTTTTTGGTGATGGAAATATTCTGAGATGGGGAAATCCGAAGGAAGGAAACAGCATGTTCAGTTGCAAAGGTGTTCAATTGAAATGTGATCTGCACAGAGGAAGTGCAATGAATATCTATTTCTGGACTTTTGGTGACTGGTGACAGGATATTTTAATCTCATCAATAAGGATTATAGTGGAAGTTGTGAAGAAGATTTTGTTCGGAAGTTATCAATCGTGATGTAATGTTATGTGGCTGATAATGGGATCGAGAACTGTAAAACAAAACACAGGTGATGGATGTAATGGATAGATTGGAACCTAAGCACATACAATACATAAAATTGGTGGTGGGCAGTTAAGTACTGGAAAGGACAGGGTAATATATCAGACACATCAATGATAACATCTGCGTTTCTTTACCATTGAAACAACCACTGTGGTTCCTTACTGACTCGGCATGAGGTCCAGTAGATACATCAAAGTCACTATCAAGGAGAGAGCTTTGAAACTTCAAGAATTAATCTAGTGTTTATAGACATCCTGGGGACACATTTCCTATTGTTTACACCATTTTGATGAACTAACTTGAAGGAGAGGTCAGCTTCAGGAGCGTTCTTCTGGAGCATTTATATTGCATTTCACTGATAACTAAATCTGCCTCTTTTCAAATAGTGAAGTGACCTCTTGTATTATTTCTCTATTGTTACAATGTTCCTACCGCTGACGTGCATTTGGATCACCCACAATAAAAGCAGTGATTTGAATTATTTCCTGACTTCCCAATGTAGGGATTAAAACAATTTGATTTGGCTGCTTTAATGTCAACAAATGTATTACAGTGCTTTCTATAGAAAAGCATAAAATGCATCCAATTTCACTCCAGAATGAAATACTTTAAAATATGTGTTTGCATATTAGAAATCTACCTCAAATAATAATACTATTAAAGTTATTATTAAAAGCCTAAATACAGTAGTTAGACTAATGGCTCAATGGCCACCCCGGGGTCAGTTACTGCTGAAGTGTATATACCAGAATTGATCATCAGTAAGTGCTGAGTTTGTCAATCTCAGCTAGGACAGTAGCAAGGTTTTAACATTTCTAATCATATTCACAAGATCACAAGATTGGTTTACATCTGGATAAAGAAGTCCCTTCATCCCATCCAATTTCATCCCTCCACAACACTCACCCTACCATCCCCACATCACTACATCAAGCTGATTTTTAAATGAGTCCAGTGTCCTGACCTCCAGCATCTTTACTGGCAACCTGTTCGAGTTATTGATTACCCTCTGTGTAAAGAAAAACTTCTTGGTATCTGCTTTAAAATTGCCCTTTACAACTCTAAACCTATGCCCTTTTGTTCTACTGTCTTGATACATCCTAAATTATTGATCTGGGTTTATACTTTTTTAAATCTGTTCGTAAGTGAATACAGAATACCCAATCCATAAATTCATTCCATTGTAGGGTCGAGCCATTTCTTTAATGTGTGCAGTGTTCTGAATAAGTAGGGCAATCGCACCAAGCACGTTTGCTAGTTCACCACTTCCTTCGAAACGTAGCATTTGTGTAGTGATGAAATCTGCAAGTCATCATGTCAACAATTCTTTAAAAATTGAGAAACATTGGTTTTCTTTGGAATATGTTATTGTAAATAATCATTTATTCATTTAAAAATGGAAGTCAAAGCATTCTTTGGGTCTCATGATATAATTGACATAGAACTTTTTTTTTCTTCCTTCAGTGTTTTATTATTGAAGCTCTTTGTAGTCATTGAATACAAATCATCTTATGACTGTTTTCCAGGTGATTTATTAAATAGCATCTATTCCTATAAGAGATACAACAAATTGAGAATGCAGACATCACCTTATTTGTTACAACACATCATGTGTAAGCCTGTATCTGAGGCTCCTACCTCCCCTATGAAAAGAATTATGGATGATGGTGTTACATCCCTTGTGACAACATGATCTGTTTCCTTTGCACCTCCCATGGTTGCCTACCTTCACCATCTGTCTGACATTGTTCATCTCCAAAAGCTTGGCAGTAGTAACACATATTTTGTTGCCATTCTGTGCAGGATTCAACGCACAACAAAGTGTTTACAGATCTTCCTAGGGCTGTACAGTGATCTGTCCCCTGTGAGGTCTGAACAGAATTTCACTTTTGAAGTCCTGAGTGTGCACCTTATGACTATTCATGAGCACTGCTCAGCACTTGAGTCACAAGCAAGTAATTCAGTCTTTAGCTCATCTGCACAAAAGAGACCGACTTTCATTTAAAATAAGAAAAAGAAAGCAGACATTGTCATATCTAGGTTATTAAGTGCTCCGAGACATTTGAAGGACACAATATCAATGCAAGTTAATGTTATTTTTGTTGTTGTTATGGTTGGTGTTATTACTTCACCTGGAAAGCATGTGGACTCCTGTAGCTCAGTGGTTAGAGCACTCGCCTTGAAAGCGAGAGACCTGGGCTCGATTCCCGGCAGCCTGAAATGTTAGAATGTTTGGCAAGTTTTTACTCATGCCTCTGTTACCTGGCAGTAAGTAGGAACCTGGTTGTTAGTCGATTGGCGGATCGCTTTTCCGAGGGTAATAATTCCTTCAAAAAAAAATTGGTCACTCAATCTGAGACTGTTTGTGGGACACTGCACAGCGCAATTGGCTACCGTGTTTCGCCCACAAAATATACAGTAAATTCACATTACAGTATATTCTGTGAGGTGCTTTGAGACATCTTGAAGACCTCTTGAAGACGTGATAAGGCGCTATATCAAATGCAAGGATTACTATTATTATTATTCCTTAGCACTTTACCTTTTCTAATCCTGCTGCTGGTCTATAATTGACAAGAGTAAAGAAGTTCTTGATGCTGCTGTGGTAATTGGCACACACATTCCATGTCAGTATTCTTGGCATCTGATACAGGAATTATAGTGGGAATCTCTGCTGGTGGAGTTGAAGTGTAAATTTTCAGCAAGTGGGTAAATTAGCCTTCTCCGTTATTGCTGCACAAACATGAGTAAGCTGATGAAGACCAAATCTTACTTATAACAAGGGTAATGAGAGAGGCCCCAGAGATAAAGTGGGAAGAATGATCGTGTGATTGAAGTGTCTCAAAGCAGTTCACAAGATTTACTGTCTTTATGTACACTGATTGTGTATTTTGTGGTGGAATGTGTCAGTGAATTTACCCACAGCAAAATTCCACAAACAGTCGTGAAGTGAATGACCAATTTTATCTACTGGATTGATTGCCAGGAAACGCCCTTCTCTTTCCGAATAGTGCCATTGGACCAGGCAGAAGGGACCTCGATTCCATTTAAATGAGAGGCAGTGGTGTAAAAAATGACCATGTGCAATAAAACCCTCTCCAAATGATGGTACAAATAAATAACGGTGGCATATCCATACACATGTCCTTTGAAATTCAGTGCAACTTTAACCCAAGTATATCTGCCATGATCCAATGCAGTGGTGGAATATGCTCAATAAGCCGAATACGTTACTGTATTTGAAACATGCTTTTTTGAGAGAAACAAGAACACATTCTGAAGCTGTTATATTGTATTCTGTTTCAACAGATGTGGGATCAGTTGAGGGTTTGGCATATCACAAAGCCTGGGATACTCTCTACTGGACGAGTTCTACAACCTCAACCATCACTCGACACACAATTGATCAAAATAGATTTGGTGCCTTCAACCGGGAAATCATTGTGGCAATGTCTTCTGAAGACCATCCCCACGTGCTAGCATTGGATGAGTGTCACAAGTAAGAACATTAATAGTTTCTTCTTATGAAGTAACAGGCACGGTTCATGATTTGTACTTATTGAGTTCTGCTCTCCTATAAAACCCAGTATGAATTTCAAGGTAATTCTTCACATGTTTCTTAAAAATTAGGTTGCAAATGTACATGTTACGGTATAGTCTATAGTCCTCTTTAAACCTACGTTCCCTTCTCTCACTTCGCATATCTCATTTGTGGATGAGAAAGTGGGTAGTTTGTTGAACGCTCCCAAACACTGCCTGGATGAAGGGCGCTATAAAGTTGTTGTTGTAGTTAGCTCCTCCAAGCCCTAGTCTAGAATTTGGGGCCACAAAATATAAGAGCAACATAAATGGACTTGTCCTCAAATAAACTGCAGGAAGGCAACTCATCTCCTTCCAAGTGATCTAAGTGAAATCATCAGCAGGAATTCACACCTGCTGGGATAAACTGCTTTTGGAAGGCAGCAATCTAAATTCACGATTACATTTCAGTGACCCACCAATTGTAGGTGTCTATATGGGACACAGGATTGGTCTCAACTGTAATTCCCCACACATCCCTCACAATCCATAAGAGAGAGAGTGGGTATCAGAGCTCACATATGAATAATGATCACATGGACCCACTGCTGGAAGGTGACTTGAACTCTGTGCAACTTTATGCCCAATGGCAGAAAGGAGTTGAATGCTTTTATCACAGGTGTGAAGAGAAGCGCCAATGATGGTTTTTAATATTTATTTTTTCTTTGTGAGTTCTTTTTATTAAAAAACGAGTGCTTACAGTGACATGAAATGCTCTCAAGTAATTAATGAAAAGAAGCAAGAAAATGAATAAAAGATTATTAAAACTAATCTGAGTTCCAACTCTCAATTTTTACTTTTTAAAAGGATACAAACTCCCTCTTTTTAAATAAATTTGAAACCAGACAACATTGTTTGGTTTTATTCACAATTGCTACTTATTTCAGTAGAAAAACAGGCTTATTTAATTTAAGGATTGCCTCTAATAATTAACAAAATAAATTACTCTTTAGTTATTTTATTTTCTAAAATCAGAAAGAAATACAAAATTATTATTATTGATTGCAAAATTGATTAAACTTTTTTGGAAGGAAATTAATGTTCAAACGTTATTTGCAGCTCTGGTGTCTTACGATGAATCCAACCTAGACAGATAAGATAAAATTGTTTCTTTTTTGTGGTAGCTGCATCTTAAATTAAGTTTGGTTCCTTGTGGACATCAAGTCTACCAGACAAATTCTGAGCTAAAATTTAACAATAATTGACAGTGTCATCCAGAAAAACTACAGTGATGGAAACTATGAGAAAATCGTATACTTTAACGAGATAGTGTAGGAGACATTGTATCTGTCCTTTGTTACGCATGACCTTGCAATGCTTCACAGTACGCTGGATAAGAAGAAGAAATATGTTGCATTTCTTAACATTTATCACTCACTGCCTTAGGCATGCTTCCTCATACAAAAAATGTTTCCTTAATGCCGGTACGAGTATCAAAAATCCCTGTTTGACAACATAGGTATTATTCCAAGGAGTTTTTTCAAGGACAGCCCAATAATATAGTTCTCCAACCAACTTCCCTATATATATAAAAATATAGCACCAAATTCAAATAGTAGATACAAAATCACTATTACTCTGTAGAGTATTGGTTAGAACACTCGCCTCGCAAGCGAGAGGACCCAGGTTTGATTCCCGAGCGGGGAGAAACCTTAGGCAAGTTTCCTTACTCCACATGCCTCTGTTTTACCGAGCAGTAAAACCCAATTGTTAGTCGATTGGCTTACCGGGCGCAAAAATCCCAAATAATAAAATAATAATAATTTGATCACGCAATCCACAACTGTTTGTGGGACACTGCTGTATGTAATTGGCTACAGCGTTCCCCACAAAATAGACAATCAATTCACTTTGCAATATAATCTGTGAAGTGCTGTGAGACATCATGATGACGTAATAAGGATTGTTATTATTAGATCATCATAGATGAAATCTACCAGAGTAACTAAGAGAGGCTCGAAGTGAGCAACCCTAAAATATTTTCCATAATAGAGTTAAGCCATTAGATACTATTTATGGACTATGAATCTCTGCATGGTCTGACATAGTGATTCTTTACCTTGCCTAGCTTAATGTTCTGGACAAACTGGAATGAACAACAACCTAGTATAATGAGAGCAACCTTGTCGGGAGCAAACGTTCAGATTATTGTTAGCATCGACATCTTCACGCCAAATGGACTTACAGTTGATCATAAAGTGGAGAAACTCTATTTCTCAGATGGTTCAGTGGGAAGAATTGAAAGGTGTGAATATGATGGCTCGGACCGATATGTAAGTTGACCATTTTGTATCGAAGTTTCTATATTGTGATGAATGTGCACATTCAGTCAAAACTTGTGATTATTAAATGAATCTGTGAGTAAATAGAAATTGGAGCAATATCTATCTACAAGGTCTTCAGTTATTGACCCTAATTTGGCTAAACTCCCCACCCTTCCAGTTTTCTCATTTCATCTGAAGTCCTGTTGGGGGTCAGCTTCCATGAGTCCTAGTCACACTTAGATTCAAGTGCAGCATATTGGTTAGAGCAGTCATCTCACAAGTGAGAGGACCCAGGTTCGATTCCCAGGCAGGGCAAAACCTTAACAAAGTTTTCTTACTCCACACGCCTCTGTTTACCTAGCAGTAAGTAGGAATCCGGTTGTTAGTCAAATGGCAGATCACTTTCTGGAGGTAATAATGCCTTTAAAAAATAATAATAATAATAATTTGGGCACTCAATCCACAACTATTTGTGGGATACTGCTCTGCGCAATTGGCTGCAGTGTTTCATCCACAAAATATACAGTCAATTCACTTTACGGTAAAATTGTGTAAAACCCTTTGAGTGGCCTTATACAATGCACGTCAGCAGGCTGTGTGACTACTGAGGCAGCAATAGGAAACTTGAAATAGGTGCACTTACAGTCAATATTTCCACATCAAATGTCAGCAGCGCTTTATATATCACATGATCTGAATTCCTCTGAGAAATGTATTTTGTTTTTCCATAAGACACTTTAACAAAACTATTTTAAATGGTAATTTATGTTAATAGCAACAATTGAATGACATGTGATGTGAAACAAGTTATTTATTTCACAATAATTATGCTTAAAGTACAAATTAAGAGACAATTTGATCTATAATGTAGTCATACAGTACCTTTAATTTCTCGTTGGATTCAATGGTGGATAATGCCATGTTGAGAAATGCAGTATTGTAGTATGTTAGAACCACAATTAGCGACAACTTGATTGCTTTTTTCATATGTGCTGCTTCGGGGTTGCCCTATGGAGAGTGCAGCATTCACTCATACTTAATATGTGTAGCTTGGCTCACTTTAATAATTTAGTAAATTTGTTTCAGATTCCAAGGAATTTATAAACTATTCAGTATCATGATTTGCAATCCTTGAATTGCTGTGTTAACTGCCAAGTTAAAGGCATTAAAGCAAAATTAAGAGGAAAGAAACTATGTTCTGTGTGAATCTCTGACCAAACATTTGTCTTCAGCACTTTGTGATTATTGAGAGCAGCTGTTTACTTTCACTTTAGCCCCTTTTGCTTCACAGAAACAGGCCATATTCTCTATATATGGCATTTTATCGCCTCAGGACCATTTACTGCAGAAATAAATATTCCCTCCGCTTGCCCTTTTTTATATTACTCTCTCTCTGTTCCCTGTCACATATGACCTTCCACTACTTGGTAAACTATATAATTCTTTCCTTTGCCATTTTCCTGTTGGCAGATCACCAAATCTCTATAGTCAGGGCTGTTTTATATCCCTATCTGTCAGCAGGTTGACCCCTTTTGCACATTCCTACATTATCTGAAGTACTGTAAAGTCTACATTGCTTGAAGTCATTAAGTTTCATTGTAAATTACAGCTCAGCATTGACTAAGAATATAATTTGTGGCAATTAAGGCAGATTAATCTTTGATAATAATTGGTCTGACATTCATTAATCATTATTTAGTGCACAAAAGAGTGATTGAACTTCCTTTCATGACTTGTCTCTTTCTATAACCACTGAGTTATTACAATATGGCGTTTCAAGTTCATCTTAAGGTCCTAGAATCTGACTAAATGAGAACAGTTTAGTCATTTTGATCATTAAAGAGTACAGATTGTTCAATGATAAATTAGACTTCAAAACAAAAAATTTAAAACAACTAAAGAATAAAGAATTTCATTTTCTGTCACCAAAACCATTTATTTGTATAGATCATCAGTCATTTAGTAATTGTTTATAGGGTATAGTTAAACAAAAAATGGTTGCTGTGTTTCCATGCATCGTGTGTCTCCACAAGAATTATTTCAGTAACTCATAGTAAATATTGTCGCCGTGTCTTTAAATATCTACAGAAAGCAAATATGCAACAAAGTGCTGAGAAGCAATTGTTATTTGAGTAAAATAGTCTATAACAATAGGCCTACATCATGACCAGCATTCTTTGTTTGATTCTTCTCTCTTGCTTGCGACAAACACAGGTGATTCTGAAATCTGGACCAGGAACTTTCTTTGGGTTAGCTATTTATGGCGATTACATCTTCTGGACAGATTGGATGCAGAGATCTGTAATGCGCTGTGATAAGTACACAGGAGGAAATATAAAAGTCCTGCGCTCAGACACAGCACATCAGCCTATGGGAATTATGGTTGTAGCAAATGATACCAACATGTGTAAGTTACACTCAATATGGTAATGCAGTATTTAAACTTTATTTTCCCTGGTTAATACTAGATATTTTATTATGTTATATTAAATTGTATGTCCACCGCCCGGCCAGCCCCACCAGCGGTGGTCGGGCCTTCAGCCTTTCTGCCCCTACCCTATGGAACTCCATCCCACGTTCCCATTGCCTTGCTCCCTTTCAAGGCGTGTCTCAAAACCCTCCTCTTCGAACTGAACCTTTGGCCACCATCCTTACCTTCTCTGCCCTCCACCCTCCCCGATCCCGACCCCCAGCTCAGGTCCAAATCCCTGACCGTCCAGTACCTCGGGACATCCTCCCGACATGAAAGGTACTATACAAATGTAATTTTGTATTATATTTGATTACATTGGATAAAGATTATGTGCTTGCAGTTTGGATTTTATATGTGCATGTGTTAATCTTGAATAAGAAGCATGACATTCAAAATATTTGGTTTCACAAATAGACCTAAATGCTGGATACTTTACCAGTGAAAGATTGTTTGATCTGCTGCTGCGAACTGAAAGGTTCCTACAGGACTCTCAGTGAATGTATATTTGACTTGCTGGAGGCAGCAATATTAAGGAGCTTTCAGTTTCCCCTCCAGAGATTGTGTTAAGTGTTTGTTGCATATTACAACTACAAGTTGGTTCTAATACAACTCCAAGTTCATGCCAATTTCCTCTTGGCTCAACACCAACAAGGATGTCATAGAAGAGTAAGAGCCAAATAGTTTAAATAAATAAACCTCTGGTCAGAAGTTGGTGGAAGGTACATGTGTTCCCTTCATTAATGCAAAATTTATTGAGTTTGGGCTTGGTACCCCACTCAGAACATTCAAGCTATGATTCAGCCCAGAGTTTGTGCATCAAAATCAAATGCATTTGACTAAGTAAACATTTCTCCTAAATTTCAGCCACTTTAGGTCTTTTTGTACACTGCTTAGCAAATGTGACGATCAGGTCAGGATATTGAAACATAGCGCTGTACCCCAGTATTCATAAGTTTAATTCAAAACCAAGTGCAGATCTGGTTTAGTAATAAAAAGTGATCAATACTATTGATGTCAGCCTGGCTCTGTCAGTAGCCCTCTCACCTCTGAGTCAGAAAGTTATTGAGCTCATGCCCCACATTGGGACTTTCAACTCATAATCTAAGCTGGCATTCCAACTAAATGCTTCTGCATTGTTGGAGGTGGTGCCCTTTGGATAAGATGTTAAGCCAATGCCGGGCCTGCTGTTTAGGTGGATGTTTATGATCCTTGGCACTATCCAAAGAAAAGTCAGCTTCTCCTTGTGTCCTGATCAACAACCCACAAGATAAAATTGGCCATTCATTTTCTGGCTATTTGTGGGTCATTGTTATATGCATATATTGGCTGCTGCATTTGCCTACAAATTACACAGTCACTACACTTCATAGTAGTGTCCTGTGAAGCACGTTGAGATATCCTCCTGATGTGAAAGATTCTAAAGCAAGTACAAGAATTATTATTTTTAATATTTACTAATTTTTGAAATGTTCTTTGTGTAGAAGGATTGAAGGGCGGTTCAGAGCTCCTTGCAGTTTTGTTTTCTTTTAAAATAAATGAGCAGAATTATTAACAGAGATTTGTATTTTTTGTAATAGAAAATTACTTATTTTAAACCAGGTGAACTGTCTCCATGCAAGATAATGAATGGAGGTTGTCATGACTTATGTCTGTTGACTGCTGATGGCCAAGTCAATTGTTCTTGTAGAGGAGAGCGAATACAGTTAGATAACAACAGATGCGTTGGTAAGCTCAACAATTGCCTCTATATGAAATAGCTTCCTGTCCCCCTACAACCTACCAAGAGGTCCATCCCTCCACTCAGCAAACGCTGGCCTGCATCATGTCCTCTGCCTCATCCTCCACACCCGCCATCAGTGGTGAACTTCTAGCAATTCTGCCCCCATTCTTTGGAACTCCGCCCTGGCATCCCTCTATCTTGCTCCTCCTTCCCCATTTTTAAAACCTGCCTCAATGTCTATCTCTTTCATCGCGCTTTCAGTTTAATTCCTCACCACCTGCACCATGCTCAGCTTTCCCCACCCCAACATTCTCAACTCCCCCCCACCCGTAGCTCAGGTGCCCAATCAGAAAAATGCTTTGAGATGTCCTCCTGACGTGAACAGCGCTATATAAATGTATGTTGGTTTGTAAATTGTTTCCCACATTTACCTGCAAAATACAGAGTTGCTGCATCTACAAGTAATACTGTGAACTGTTTTGAGAAATTTCAAAGCTCCATATCAAATGCAAGGATTATACTGTTAGCGAGTAGGGTTCTCAAATAAGATATTCAAGTTCAATTTCCAGTCTCACCTGATGTTTGCACTTGAACTTGCCAATTTAGTACAGATCTCTAACAGGGATGTGAACAGGCATCTCAGGTGGTGGTTGGGCATTGATTAATTTTGTAGAGATGGTCATAAATAGGGAACAACTCAGTGTTTTTTTAATAACCTGGGAAAAATAGTCACAGGTAGAATTGCTGGATATAAATTTTGATATTTTTCTGTGATGCTGTGATACATTCTGAATGTAAATGACTTGCATTATATTTGAAAAATAATGCCACTTCTTTCAGCCAGGAACTCGCTGTGCAATATTCACACTGAGTTTGAATGTGGAAATGGAGATTGCATTGGATACCATTTAACATGTGATGGGATTGTTCACTGCAAAGATAAATCGGATGAGAAGCAATCATACTGTGGTAGGTAATCTATTTTACCAGTAGTAAGTGTACGTCAGTAAGAGTGCATTAGCTTTTTCACCCAACATCATTATTCTCAAAATTCCATCAGTAGCTGTGGTGACTTATCGCTTGGGGTTAGATTTTCAGAAGTGTCTCCTTTTGCAATCTGCATCTTCTTTGCAAATCAGAAAATCATCTTGGCTCAGATTTGACTCTTGTTCACTGAATGCTTTCAAAGCTGTTGTCTTTTCCCATTAATCTTACCAAGAGCTACGTTGAAGGCATTCGTTTTTTTCACTGCAAGCAGTGAAGAACCACAATTGGAAAAAGAATACAAAAAGAACACAAAATGAAAGTGGAAGCATATGACGGGCATTACATGGAACTAAATAGAATTACATAGAATATACGGTGCAGAAACAGGCCATTCGGCCCAACTGGCCCATGTCTGTGTTTGTGCTCAATGTGAGCCTCCTTCTGCCCTTTCTCAACTAAGCCTATCAGCAAAACCTTCTATTCCTTTCTCCCACATGTACTTATCTAGCTTCCCCTTAAATGCATCTATGTATTTGCCCCAATAACTCCTTGTGGTAGCAAGTTCCACATTCCATATCGATCGCCTTAACAAGAATTTGGTTGAAAGACCAAAAACAGACAGGATTGTTTCAAGTGTCTAGCATTTTATCATTGGGTAACAATAGCAATACACAAGGTAAAGAGAAAAGTTCATTTAAATCAGTTTGTTGGTGATTTTCAGGTTTGTGGACTTTGAGAACCTTTCTTCTACAGGATGTGATTATGGTCACTTCTTGCCCAAGCAGGAACTGTACAATTTCTTTACCTTAATTTGTACAGCATAAATATACAAAACAATTTATATTTATGTGGTACCTTTTGTGTTGGGAGACTGTCTCAAAGTATTTAAATACATAGAATATTCATATATATAGTATATCTATCTAGTATATATGTGTGTGTATATATATATATAATCAATGATTATTATGATCATGTATATGAGAAATAATCAGAATGGAACACTTTTACATTTCAGACACCCACTCCAGCTCCTGGTTGACATATAATATTGCTTAGATAGAGTGGAAAGCTGCTTCTGTACTTATCCCACCTCAGAGAAGCAGACCTTACAACTAATCATCACTAGTTGGTGAAAGGTGATGTGCCTGGCACTGAATGTCAGAATCGAGCCAGCCCTCTGTGGAGGTCTCAGTAGTCTGGTTCCTGAACCAGGCAGGTCTGAGATATTCCAGGGCACCGCTGATGGCAGCAGAACCCAGCCTGACTCATCGGCGGGACCTGGAAGGGCTGACCAGTCACTGGGGGCAGGCAGTCATCCCACTCAACTCTCGTTAAACCTGCAAGCCAATCAAACGGGTAGGATGGTCCTTGCTGGACAAGCAACAGCAGCAATATCAATGGCGAGCTTTGCAGTTTATCTGGTTAGACTCCAGCAGTTACCCCAATGCACAACCCCAAGCGTTGGCTCTTGCCAACCTGCACCCAATACTTTCTGGAATTAGGTAATCAGGATGTGAGCCTCCAGTGAGAGAGTGTGCATTCCATTCCACTTATCTATCTCTGGGATTTCCACGTGTAGGTGGGATGCGTGGAAATCTCAGCTTGGTTTGTATACTTTTAAGCATGGTGATGGGTTTCCGCATGTGTCAGACCCCCGGCTGACCAAAAATAAATTTTAAAAAATTGCTGAAATAACTAACTAGAAAAAGTTTGGTTTATTCGTGCATACCGGTGTTCATCTAGAAATATACAGTCACTGTTAATCTGGTGAAGTGCTTTGAGGCGTCCTCCTGATGCAAAAGGCAAGCATTATTATTATTATATCTGTGCATCAGGTGTAAGCATTATTATTATAATATCTATGCATCATAAGCAGTACAATTGGCATGAAAGCCAAAGAATTGAACAAACTGGATTTGAAACATCATCAAAAAAAAATTCCGTAGATTAGTGGTAAATGCTCTCCTACTCTGAGTTCAACAGCTATCAAGGGGGATAACTCCCAAATATCTTAAATGGAGAATGAGAAGCTAAAGCAGGAGACATGGACAAGGGGAGAGACTATTAGGTGTGGGGTGGGCAAAGTTGATTCTCTAATTAAGTTCCGATCATACTTCGGGAAATTAAATAATTGAAATGCTTTATTTTTTAATGGGACATGTTATCCATCAGTGTAATCAATTTGATACATTCCTGTTCAATTTTTTTTATTTCTCTCGGTATCTATTCATCAGCTAACAGGAACTGTAGAAAAGGATTTAAGCATTGTTACAACGGACGCTGCGTTGCTAATGCAAAGTGGTGTGATGGAGTGGATGATTGTGCTGACAACTCTGATGAAGTGTCTTGCAACAGTAAGTAGCGGAATAGTATTTGTGAGCAGCATTAGCACTGATTTTTTTTTCCAATTGATATTACTTCACTAGCTAGGGTGTAAATGGCACAAGTAAATATCAGCATTCTTTCGTGCATGAGAAAATGTTGTAATTGTTCACATTGTATCATACAAAATATTGGATGACATTTTCTTTTCTGTAATTGAAGATTAATGTTATACAGTTGTTTGTTGTTGTTTATCATTGCCTCGGAGATCTTTTGACCTCCAATCAAACTGAGACTGTTTGCGTGAAAGTCACGACTGTTGCGTTGGTGTAAGTAAATTCAATTTAGTGTTTAGCTCCTCTATCTTTTGACATATGTATTGCAGATTCTACATGCAGTGGGTCTGAATTTAGATGCAGAGATGGTACTTGCATTGCGAAATCAGCAAAATGCAACCAGATAATGGATTGTGCAGATGCCTCTGATGAAATAAATTGCAGTAAGTTATAACCTTTACAGAAAAGTTTTAAGATCTACTTTTGTTGTCATTCACAGGGAATGAAAAGCTCATTCACGGAGCATCCACATAATTACAAGGTGTCCTTGGTAAAAATGCTGTCTTGTGTGGCACTGACAGGAAGTCTGTGATGATTTTTCAAATGTTATAAAAGAGGGGATAGTAATAATAAAAAGCTCTGTAGCCGTGAGACCAAAATTGTTTCATCGAATCATTCTTTGTTTTCACAATCCAATCTATATTTCTTTTGTCTTCAGGTAACACAGCATGTAATAACTTCTACAGAGTTGGAGTGAAAGCTGCAAACTTCATAAAATGCAATAGCACCTCCCTCTGTATTCTCCCGTCCTGGATATGTGATGGGTCCAATGACTGTGGTGACTATACGGATGAGTTAAATTGCCAGGGTACTTTTGTTTTGTAATTTTTACATAGTTACATCGCTAGATAGAGAGTATACACTCAAATACCTTCAGCCTGACTAGCCTGTGCTGGTGTTTACACTCCTTTTATATTCCACATAATTCTCAGTTCCTCTTGTTTCACTCAGGTTTTCCTTTCCAATCCCTTCTCCTTCAAGTTGACTCTTAAATATATTGATGCTATTTGCCTCAACCACATCCTGTGGCAGTGAGTTCCACATTCTCACTACCCTCGGCATGAAGATGTTTCTCCTAAACTCCCTAGATATCACATATTTACACACTCTAGATTTTGACTCACCAACAAGTAAACCAAGCTTTAAAAGGAGGGTTCAGGATGAGGGACTCCAGGAGTTTAGGAATTTGGAATTCCAGAGACCTGGAGCAGAATGGCTGAAGGCTCACTCACTGATTTGCATACATTAGAGACTTTACATTTGAAGAGTTTATTTCAAGTATATGCTCTATGGAAATGTTATTTGACAGAGAATTGTCTGAGTTTTTCCCCTTATTGATCAATAAACAAGGTCACAACTGTAATAAATAAGTTCTAGGAAGGTGTACTAGATGTGCACTATAGTGCAAAAATATACCATATTCTCCTTCCAATTGTCTTTTTAAAGCTTTCAGTTTTGAAATGTTACAGGAGAGGAGACTGAAATAGGGCTTTAACCTTGCAATTCACCTTAAATTTACTTCAAGCAGACATGGTAAAAGGTTTTTGATGATTACAAACACTATAAGTAGTGAACATGGATTTAAATTAAGTAGAGCACTGGTCACTAATCAAATGGCATTCTCCTGAGGAATTAACTAAACTAATGGAATTGGGCTGTCCAGTCAATAGTAGTTGCTTGGAATTTCATAAATGAATTGATAAATTTTACATATGAGATTTTATTTTAAAAGAAAAAAAACCTACAAGGTTATTTCAACTTTAAAACTGCAAAGGTTAATAAGGAAGGAAGTTACAATCCTAGACAAGATTGTGAACTCAAAGGAGACAGCAAAATCTTACAAAGTGATCTTGATAAATGAGAACAACAAGCCATATGAGAAACATGAAATGCTAGTCTCTAAATGCTTAATTAAGAACGGTTACCACGCTGAACAAATGTGCTTTGGGACTAAGACTGCCATTGTATTATTTTGAAGATATTTTGATTGACATCTTTTAGTGGCATTATTCCCAATACACACTCTGTGCCAAAGGCAAATATTTTTTTTTCCATTATGCATTTGCAAGCAGAAAGCAGCAGTCTTGGTAAAGCTCACATTGTGCTTCAATGATTTAATTGAATCCTCAGTGGTGTTAAAGCAGTTATTGTACCCATAAATTTATTTCCCCCAAAAGTAAGACATTGTAGTTATTGTTTAAGCATCAAATAGTACTTAAAAATTAAATATGTCTCTGACACTTCTATCTCAACGTCACATAACTGCATAGTTTCTTTATCCAAAATTGCCATTGATTTTTGATCTGTCTATCTGCAATATAAAATTCCTGTTCCATCCGTTAAAAAATATCTCAGGGCAAGCTTTGTGTTGTTGATGTTGACAATAAGCACAGCCCCATGCACCAAAATATGAAAGAATATGCTATTGAACGCTCTATGGATTCCCGACAGGCCTCGAGCCATGTTTACGTCTTCAGCTTTGTATTACTGAAAGTAATTTATTTTTCAAAAGTATAATGATATCAGTGTGTAATGCCACGGGCGACCTGACTCAGAGGTGCACATGACAGGAAGATTTTTCAAATACATACTCTATTTCATTATTTTTGCTTCCTGTGCTTGGCCTTTGTTTGGCATTTCCCTACAAAAAGGTTTCCAATGCAGCAATATAGCATGCATTGAATCCTGAGCATATTCTCATTCTCTGTCACTCAGTTCAATTGATCCCACTCTGCCTCACCAATCTGATAAACCAGCAAATTGATTTTGTAAATACCATATGTGTGTTAATGTACATTAATGAACCTGTCAAATGCTCACACTTGAAACCTGGAGTTTTATGCCACTTCTAATCGGACTGAAATTGCACTAATTTAACTACGCGATAGTGATAGAATTTATCCCTTGAATAACATGGAATTAACATACAGATTTTTCTTTTGGCGTTTGAGTATCATTTGGAATTATGAGTCTAAAGCGTTTTTCTTCTTAGTTAAGAGGAATGGGTGGGACTTTAGGAGCAGGGAACTACAGTATTTTGAACAATTACAATAGGATTGTTATACCCTTGAATTTCAGAGGAGGAAGAGGTGGTGAAATGAATCTGTGAATAGATCATCAAAAACATCTCGCAAGCAGTGAAAATTAATCAACTGATCCATTAAGCAATTCAAGCTCACAACACCACACGTCTGCATAAACTTACTGCATGAAATTACAGATCTCTCCTCCATAGCTGACTTGACTATAAATTAGGTTATGTATTTCATTAAATGTTCGTGATCTAAATATTGTTTTAAAACAAATAAAAATCCTCATGCATTTGTAATCACTAGCTTGCACTACACTGCCATGAAGTTGGATGTAATTCGGTCCACTTGTTTAACTATGCTCTCTGACTAAATATTATATAGTGGCTCTGTTTGGAAAACTTGTGGGGATTGTGAAATATTACTGCATTTTTTTGTGTTTTTTTTAGCTCACCACAAACTCAAGTGTAAAGAACACTATTTTGCATGCCCCAGTGGGAAATGTATTCCCACTTCCTGGATGTGTGATAAAGAAAAGGATTGTGAAGATGGGGCAGATGAATCCCATTGTGGTAACTAATCTTTTATATATGTTACACAAATTAACTGTAGTACTGTTTTTTCCTACTCAGTATAGAAATGAGATGCATTTTCTGTCGTATTGATGAAATGCCCTATGCTTGAGTTTTCAAATTATTATCTAATGATGTGGTTTGCCATTTATTCTTGTAAATTGTCCCATCAAATGCCGCAGAAAAAGACCAAAAGGCTGTTAATAAGTCATTTTATTGTTTTGAACATAATGGCCTTTCAAGGTCTAACATGCACTGTGATCAGCTCAGTGGTTTTATGAAAGTACATTTTTATACTTAAGATTTCAATTTTCATTTACCTCTGTCTTTGGTAGAAATGAAAGTTCATATTTTGCTTATAAACGCAAAATTACAAAATATATCCTGACATTCAAATATTTAAGCCTAGCGGAAACACTCTGTATATTATATCATAAATTGTATTCCCTAGTAAAGCAATTCACTTGAACATACTAATAATGCTCAGGTTTCTCATAATGATTTATCACTTTGAAACATCCCAATACACTTAACACAATAAGTTATTTTGAAGTGAGTTGCATTGGAGTGTCAGCAAATATCATGAGCTCAAGTTCTTATGTGTGGGTCAAACCTGCTGAGCAAGCTGCAATAATGCTCCCAAAATTCATCAAAAGGACACTTTCTTAACAAGTGGCTTTTAATATTGCCAAGTTAGTCATCCATTTTCAAGTATATTGTCCATCCTTGTTCATTCAAGAATTTCCCATTCCAATAGAAAGTATGAAAGAAGAGTTTCAAAATGTTTAGAGAATAGAATTGAAGGACACACAGAAACATAATGAAGTTGAACGTAGGAAAGTGCTTAATGTTGCAATTGTCTTTGTTCTCAGATTCGTTTTGCACCTGGAATCAGTTTGAATGCGCAAATCACAAATGTATCTCGGATCACTGGGTCTGTGATGGTACAGATGATTGTGGAGATGCCTCCGATGAAAATAATTCTCTCTGTAGTAAGTCTTCAGTTTGAGGCCAGATAGTAATATTTTTGTGTGCTTTCTTGTATAATGTATTAGAGATCCAGCATCCCTTTCAGTAACTGTGTAACTCAGTTGTGTTGAATTTAATCAATTTATCCTAGTTTTACTGAACCAGATTTTATCTACATGTCTGACTATGCTGTGAGGGTAAAGGTAGACTGCACTGAACTTCAAGCATTTATACTCTTGAAAGGAGGAAGTACTTACAAATGAGATTAGTAGGGTGTTGCTTACTCTACAAAGCACTTTCATTATTACCTTGAAAATATAACATCTGCCCAACAACCAGTAACATTCCTGCATCACAACAGAGACATTGCCTTCATCCAAGCAAATGGTTTATGTCCATTGGAGGTACTCTCATCAAATCCAACAGACTTTTTAATGCTACAGATTTGTGTCTGTTAGAGGATAATAAGAACTCCTTTCATGTGTGGCTCTTAACAGTTAACAATGACAGGTGACACATGGGGAGGTATGGTAGAAGCATTTCCTTTTTTTTCAGCTGAGAAGCGTTTCTGACCTCATTACACCGCAGCAGATTGAGAAAAGTTTAACCTTAATATGATCTGGCAGTCTCGCAAAGTTTGAATAAAGTCATTGTTTTGCTATTGTGTCATTGTATGCTGGCATCCTTGCTTCCTGAAATTTGGTGGTGTTCTTTAACAGGATATTGGATTAATTTATTTCCTTTTTTTTGGAGCATACGGGTATCAACATTTCCCATTAAGTAGTAAAGCTGAACACTTTGGTCTGCAATCTAGTCCACAACCTCCCCTCCATGCGGCTCTTCAGTCAACCAGCAGAAGGTGATTCACAAGGGACAAGTATTTCCTGCCAATATTTCTCTCCCTCTGAGATAACATGTCTTGCTACCATCAAGTGATCTGGCTAAAAATTAATGAAATGTAGCCAACTGGGGGAAGCATCCAGAGCATCTTTCCAACAAATGAGAATACATGGTTACAGCCCAGAGGGTCTGGAAGAACAACTTTGCTGTTATGACCTGTTATGCCCGTTTGGGTTTGAGTTTATTGTAGAATCACATTATAAGGGCATCGTTATAATTTCTCATAATGACCTTGCTTTGAGATATCTGAAAGTGTCTCAAACTGACAAGTCATTTATGAAAAAAAGGAAATACTTCTACCATGGTTCATGATGGACAGGGACCAAAATATCAACTCCCCATGTGTCACTTGTTAAACAAGCTCATTTACTTGCGTTCTCTAGACAATGAATACAAGGCAGTATAGCTCAAAGCAAGTTGTATTTCTGCCAGTTCTGTTTAATCATTGTCTTATGATTTTATGTAAATTTCTATTTAATTTTTTATGTTTTATTTATGTTTCTTTCTCTATCAGTATTTATTGGCCACATCATCTACCTCCACAATTCTTCCCCCTACCTCCGTCCTCCAGCACTCACCTTCATCTCCTGCCTCTTGAGGCTGCGCAAAGTTTAGGTCAAGTCGCAAATGTAGACACATGCACATCGCTATTTCTTCACAGTTGCTACCATTGCTACTCTAGATGCTATTTAATTTAAGCCTTGTCAGAACAGACTGCAAGGGAGAGGAAGCCATGGGCAGACTAATATTATTTCCCAAATGCCAAATAATCGAAAGAGAGTTGATTTTACAGTGGACCTGAAATCTTTCCAGCATGAGGTTGGTAATCTGACTTCTTTTTTTTATCACAGATTCAGTCACTTGTGCTCCTGATTTGTTTCAATGTCCCAACTCTCACGTTTGCATCCCGAAACTTTGGCTGTGCGATGGTGATAAAGATTGCCCGGATGGCAGTGATGAACTTTCCATAGCTGGCTGCTGTAAGTAATGATAAAAACAATTTAGACTAGGGTGGTCTAACTGGCAGCCCGCAGGCTGATTTCATCCGCCCCCCTCCCCCCCCCACCCCACCTCCCCCCTCCGTTTCATCTGGTCCACCTGCTCCCTCCATAACCCGTAAATGTTATGTTTTGTTTCTGGAAGGGAAACACAAAAATATTGCTTATGCGGCACTCGGATGTTTCTCAAATAGGGCATCTGGCCCTCAGCAGCCGAAAGTTAGACCACCCTGAATTTTAGGCTGTTACTAAATCATACATTCAGTGAGAAAACCGTGCTATTTTGGAAGAGATATTGGTGATTAGTAATTGTGCAGATGGTCACTGCATAAATTCTACAGATTAGAGTGAGTTATGGCATGAACATTAGTAAGGACAAGTGAAGTTTTGTGCAATACTTACTAATGCTCATGGAGTTACATTAAAGAACACAATGTGATATGTGATGTCATACATTTCTGGAGATTACGTATAATCAGTTTAAGGTTAGGAAATGAAAGGCGACATGGGAACCATATTCTAACGGTATGAAGGAAACATGAAAACTGGTTGACCTCCGGGTCATCAGGTTGATACTGAGTACAGTGCTCGTGGACTATCCTCAACAACAACAAGGTTACATTTTTGTATAGCGCCTTTCACATTGGGAGGACGTCCCAAGAGCTGGACAGTGTGCACCATTTCAGACCCGAGCTGGGGTCAGTGGGGAGAAAGGGAGGGGAGGGGAAGGGGAGTGACCAATGGGCATGGTCGTAGAGGAGGGTTTTGACGCGGGACTTGAAGGAAGCTAAGGAGGGGGTGAGGTGGAATGATTGGGAAATGGAGTTCCAGAGGTTGGGCCCAGAGTGGCTGAAGGCTCTCCTGCCAATGGTGGGGCAGGTGGGGTGGGTGGGTCAGGAGATGTGGAGCAGGCCGGAGCCGGCTGAGCGGAGGGAGCGGGCGGTTTGGTAGGGGGTTAGGAGATCACAGAGGCAGGGTGGGGTGAGACCATTGAGGGCTTTGTAGGTGAGAACCAGGATCTTGAACTGGATCCTTTGTAGGATAGGGAGCCAATGGAGTCGGGCGAGAATGGGGGAGATGGGGTGTTTGGTGCGGGAGAGGACACGGGCTGCAGAATTCTGGATTATCTGCAGTCTGTGGAGGGAGGAGTTGGGAAGGCCAACAAACAGGGCGTTTGCATAGTTGAGCCTGGAGGTGATGAAGACATGAACAAGAGTTCCAGCGGCCTGAGGGGTGAGGTAGTGGCGGAGTCGGGTGATGTTACGGAGGTGAGGGAAGGTAGAGCGGGTCATGGCTTGGATGTGGGGAAGAAAAGATAGTTGAAGGTCGAACAAGACACCTAGGTTCCTGACTGGCTTAGTGAGTTGTAGTGTGCAACCATGGAGGTTGATGCTGCCAGAGCCTGAGGTGCAGAAGTGCTGATGCGAGCCAATCAGGAGGGCCTCAGTCTTGTTCACATTCAACTGTAGGAAGTTTGCCCTCATTAAGGACTTGATGTCCATCAGGCAGTCTGTCAGAGCAGCAGTGGGCCTGAAGTTGAGGGTGGAGGCAGAAAGATAGAATTGGGTGTCATCCGCATACATATGGAAGTTGACCCCATATCTGTGGATGATGTCACCAAGGGGGAGCATGTAGATATTAAAGATGAGAGGGCCAAGGACAGAGCCCTGGGGGACATCAGACATGACAGTGCGGGGGCTGGAGGAGAAGCCGTTAGAGGCAACAAAGTGGAGACGGTGAGAGAGATAGGAATCGAACCAAGCAAGGAGGAGAGACGGTATATGAGGATGGAGTGGTCGACAGTGTCGAAGGCGGCAGAGAGGTCGAGGAGGGCAAGGAGGCAGTGGGAACCCTGATCACAGATGTTCAGAATTAGTGACTTTGACCAGGGCCTTTTCCGTGCTGTGGGCTGCGGGAAGCTGGATTGGATGGGTTCAAAGAGGGAATGGCGAGAGAGAAAGGAGTGGAGCTGGGATGCGACGACTGATTCCAGGACCTTGGAGAGGAATGGGAGGTTAGAGATGGGGCAGTAGCTGGAGAGTCGGGATCCTCAGGTTCCCAGATGCATTTCTTATTAGAAGGTTATTAGTATTATTAAAAGGTGTACTCTTTAACATTCTGATTAATTGTTTCTCTTTATTCTAGCACACAACAGTACATGTGATGACAAAGCTTTCATTTGTCGCAACAAAGTGTGCATTCCAGAGTATTTTGTATGTGACTGGGATGATGATTGTGGAGATGGATCTGATGAATCTCCAGAATGTGGTAAGTAAAATAATTTTTTTTTCTAACCAAATATTAGCAAGTACCAACATTTCAACAATCTTTTTTACTGAAGGTTATATTGTCACATATTTACCTAACCAATTGTTGCACTCATCAGTTTGTATGCAAGTCTTTTCTTCACAAAGTTAATGTGAATTTCACAGTGTGGAGCCCTGTAGAGTATTAGTTAGGCCAGGGCGAAACCTTCATCAAGTTTCCTTACTCCACATGCCTCTGTTTACCTAGCAGTAAGTAGGAACCCAGTTACTAGCCAGCGATTAATAATTCTTTCAAATTTTTAAATAATTTGGTCATTCAATTCACAACTGTTTCTGGGACACTGTTGTGTGCAATTGCTGCATTTCGCCCACAAAATATTCACTTTAGTATGAAGCGCTTTGAGAGGTCTCAAAGATGTGATCAGCCGCTATATCAAATGCAAATGCAAGGATTATTATTATTAAACATTTTATTATTATGGCAAACCTGTCTGCCCAAGATTAGAATCAGTGAAATAAAATTTCCCCTTGAACAATAAAAATCCCTAACTAAGCCTATAATTAAAAGTCCTGTAGCGGTTAGAGCATTCACTTTGCAAGTGAGAGACCTGGGTTTGATTCCCGGCAGGGCAAAACCTTGGGCAAGTTTCCTTACTCCACACGCCTAATAATAATCCCTCCAAAACCAAAAACAGTAATAAATTGATCACTTCAATCCATGCCTGTTTGTGGGACTGTCGCATTTTGTCCACAAATATACAGTCAATTCACTTTACAGTCTATTCTGTGAAGCGCTTTGAGACGTGTAGAAGCCGTGAAAAGAGCTAAAATGCAAGGAATATTATTATTATTAAAAGGAGCTTTTAATTGGTGCTTCTTCTACATAATAGGCGCTATGTAATTGAGTACTGTTTGTATCAATCATAGGGAAATACATACAATCATAGGGAATCCACATTTTTTCCTCTCGGCCCATTAAATACTTCAATCCTCTTTCTCCTTTCAGGTTGCTCCATCTTCCCCTTCTTATTTATGGTCACCACTCTCTCACTTAATGGTGATGATCCCTCCAATGCCTCTACTCTTAACAGAACATACTTCAGATTGTTCATAAATATCAGCAGAAATCTGAGATTGACTTGCTATATTCATTTTTTTGTTAGTAATGTGAAGTACTTAATTTCAATATTTTATTTTATATTAGAATTGTTTCATTTATATGAGCTCTTTTGTGTGAGTTGTGAACACCATGTAGTTAAGGGGTTATGCAAATTGCAGCTGCCTTTAATTACGTGATTGACAGCCAATAAATAGATCCTTAGTTACAAAGATAATTAGACACTTGTGTAATGTTTTCTGTACACAGTTTAACAACTCGCACAATACATATGCATTTACACATGGTTTTACGCAATTCGCATACTAAATCACAACCAGTACCTCTGTGAAATGAGAAAAATAAGATACAATTATTGAAATAGGTATATCTCAGGACCTCACACACTATAATTCTTAACAATATGTCCAGCTTTGTGGTTAACACGGCTGTTCATACATATTTAAAATTAATCATTTTATTATTATGGGTTTTATCCCAGATGCCGTCAAAACACTCATCCATGTATTCTTCACCTCCCGACTTGACTTCTCAAATGCCCTCTTTTGCTGGTCTCCCCAGCTCCACCCTGCACAGGATCCAGCTGATCCAAAACTCCGCCACCTGCATACTCACCTGTATTAAACTCTGTACCTCCATCACACCAATCCTAGCTGGGCTCCACTGCTCCCTATCGCCGAACAGATTGATTTCAAGATCCTCACACTCGTTTTCAAATCCCTTCATGCCCTAGCACCTCCTTACCTCTCTGACCTGCTTACCCCCCAACCTACAACCTGCTGCCTCCAATCAATTGGCTCCGGCCTTCTGCATGTCCTTCGGGCCCTCCATTCCACCATCGGTGGCCGCACTTTCAGCAACTACGCACCGAAATTCTGGAACACTCTTCCACTATCCCTCCATCTTACTCCTTCCTTCCCCACCTTCAGGTTGCGCCAAAGACCTTCCTATTCGACATTGCCTACGGTTACCTTCCCCCAGCTTGGCATCATGCTCTACCACTGTCAAGTGCACTGGGCCACTCCCCTGCGTGAGGGGCACAATATAAATGCTGGTTGTTGTTATATAGCTTGTGAATACAGAAAGCAAAATCTCCACCATAGGACCAACTTATCTGTACATTTTACATTGAGAATCAGAGAACCTCAGAAAAGGCCATCTCTGATCGCTATTTAGAATTACAATACTTTGCTGTCTCCTCTGAGGAGATATATACACGTTTCCTGACCCAGGGGGAGCTGTCTTCCCTCTAGGACCTCACTATCTTCTCCTTCAAGAACATTGGAATTTGGCCTCCTTCAAGCCCAAGTTTCACCACCTATTTATTTTGGGATAGAATTCCCTGTGAGTTTACTCAAGTAAAAAAAACTCAAGAAATACAGTTATTTCAAAATATCTGCAGGCATGCAGAATGCAACAGCACATACTAATGGGACTCCCTAGAGCTGCAGATCCACCAGGAGTCTTGTTAGTGTAGCCCAGCTAGTTTGTTACAAACACAAGTCTTAAAATACCTCCGGGAGTTTTTGCACTGTGCAGATATGGAATAGGTTACTTTTTTGGAAGTGTTCCCATTCAACTCATGTTAACCCTGCAAGCCAAAGCCCTGACAACTAGGGTGGTCCAAGCTGGACAAGCAGCAGGAACCTTTGCCAGACAGTCAGGATCACTCCCATCAGTACCCCAACACACACTCTGGAGTACCCAAGCCTTGGCTCTTGCCAACCTGCTCCTGATACTCTGCGGAATTATCTTAGCAGGGTGCATCCCTCCAGGAAGGTGGTGTGCATTTCATTCCTGACAACCGTTATTTGCAGAGATAGTACTCATCATTTAAAAAGAAACTCCATGAATCATTCCTTCAACATTTATTTAGGCCTGGTCCAAAGTAACAGTGTTATTTTAAAGTTATGGTGCAAAATAAAATGCATGCATTAATCTAACTGTGGCTTACCAGTGATCTACACAAGGTTACAATAATATGTTTACATTGGGATGTGCATTAGTGTATGATTAGTCTACTGCATATAAACTTCACATTGAATACATTGAAAACATATGACACCTCGAGTGACTGGATCGTCATAACGCTCAAGTCTTTATTTTTCTTCTTTGCTAATGGATGTTCATTTTTTTTGTGTAACAATATTTAGCATCTTTATAATGAGTTTAATTGTATTAATGGAAGATGGCTTACAAATTACTTGTTAATGTATGTTGCATAATCTTTATACAATACAAGATACAATACAAAATTACATTCGTATAGCGCCTTTCACGTCAGGAGGATGCTGGGCACTGGGACGTAAATATACAATACTTATGAAGATAAAAATCATCTAGCCCATCTATTGAGTTGGCCTAGATATGTTATACTCATAATAACTTGGTTCATATGTTGGTGTCATTAGTAAATGTTGCAGTATTACATGATGGAGCTTCTTTCATATAATTTGTGTAATTTTGGAACAGCAGGAGAATGAGAGAGAATTTACTGAATAAGTCATTGGATCCAACGCAAACTTTTTCCATTAATCAATCTTTACTGTCTGTTGCTGGGCCAATCTGATTAGTCATCTTACCATAAATCCTATGAGCCTTAATATTTCATATATATTTGGTATTGGAATGTTTTCAAATGCCAAATGAAGTGTGTTAAATGTTAGTTACCTAGAGTTTTCGTACCATGATTTTCAAAAGAACTACCAATATTTAAAATGTTCTCTTTGAAGTTCTCTAGGCTGTCACAGACCCAAATTATTTTGAAAGATTGCACTGTGCATTTTTTATGTCATGCGACAGACATAACAGTTGTGTGTTATGTGCCAGCAATACTTATGAGATATTAGTCATTCATTTGATTGTGAAACATCTGTTATAAATCACTATCACTACTGAACTATTTTCTATTAACAGCACAAACATAACTTTGGAAAGGTTATACTTTTTAATTAAGACTTACGATGCATCACAGGGGAAAGAATAATTCTTGATAACGTTTTTCTTCTTGTGGATTGTTAGAATACCCAACATGTGGCAAAGATGGGTTCATTTGTGCCAATGGACGATGCCTTATCAACAAGCATTGGGAATGTGATGGGGACTTTGATTGTCTTGACTATTCAGATGAAGCACCTAAAAATCCAAAGTGTACAGGTGAAGACATTTTTTTTCTCACTATACTTTATTTTGACTAGAACGCTTTGATTAATACATATTAATAAATCTTAATAATGTGCAAGTGAATCTGATTGAATGTTAATGATTGGTGAATATGTGTTAATGTTGACTCTACACTTGTTAAATAAAGAGGCTTTCATTTCTTAATTTCTGGCCAGATTGTGTTGGGTCGTTTGGGTCATACCTCAACCTATGCAGCCCTTTCTGACCAGAGCAATTCTTCAAAATAACATTTCTGGATTGCGATTGAAGTTGAATCTAATTAAGTAAACCAATGGTATAATTAAATGGTGCACAATGTATTCTCCAGCAAGGTGGCAAGAGGCCTGTGATTCCTCCCATGTCAAGTGCTTGGTTTCAGCTGCAACACCAGGAAACGACAACAAAAAAAACCTTGCATTTATATAGCTCCCTTCACTCGGGGTATCCTCCTGGAGCACAAGATACTTTCTCAAAGGGAAAGATAAAGGAGGAACAGCATCTGGCTGAGCCATTGTTGTGCTTCTCACTACAATGAGTTCCAAATGGTCAATAAATAATAACAATAATAAAAATAATAATCCTTGCATTTGATTTTCATGTCAAGAGAACGCCTCCAAGTGCTTCACAAAATTTTATTGTAAAATTGTAATGTTGGAAGCTTGGTTCACCTGTCAGCACCATATCTTCTTCATTAGAAGCTTGTAGATTCAAGCCCCACACTGATTTTGAACTCATTCAATCCAGGCTGACACTGCACTGTTGGAGCTGCCGTCATTCAGAGAGGTTAAAGCAAAGTCCCTTCTGCTTGTTCAGGTGGAAGCTAAAGATCCCCTTGAAAAGAAAAGGGACCTTGCACAAAGTGCCTCCCATGTTCAGCTACAAAATACAGAATCACTACTCTTTACAGGAAATCCCATGACACACTTTGAGATATCCTGCCAACATGAAAGATCTTATATTGAATGCAAGGGTTACTATTATATCAAACTTCAACGTTTAGTTGAAGCAATGAATAATTCCTTTAATTTTATTCCTCAGACTGCTTGCAGGTCCAGGGAAACCATTGCATGACTCCTTATTAAGCTTTCGCTTCACATATTACAACTCGGGAATGTTTTATAAAACAACTCAGGAATCTGACTTTTTTTGACACCAAATTTGTTTCTTTTAATTTATCTCTCCTCCACTCCACAAAGGAGTTTGAACCATTTTTCTTTTAAATGGAGTATTGTTTAATGTTGTGGAGTCTGTTTAATGTTGTGGAGTGCTCAGTGGTTAGAGCACTCGCCTCTCAAGCGAGAGACCTGGGTTTGATTCCCGGCAGGGCAAAACCTTGAGCAAGCTTCCTTACTCCACAGCCTAATGATAATCCCTCCAGAAAGAAAACAATAATAAATTGGTCACTTCAATCCAAGGCTGTTTGTGGGACACTGCTGTGCGCAATTTGGCTGCTACGTTTCACCCACAAATATACAGTCAATTCACTTTACAGTATATTCTGTGAAGAGCTTTGAGATGTCTAGAAGATGTGAAAAGCGCTATATCAAATGCAAGGATTATTATTATTACATGTTGCCCTTCGATATCTTGCCCAAGTTGTCATTATTCATGTGGGATTGCGTTTAGACAGGGTATTCAACCACAGGGGGCATTACAGTAGAGATACTGTTTGTACCAGATGCCAATTTGCACCTACAATTGATGATTCTGATTCGAGGTCTGCCTGTTTTTCCAAAGCTAATCCACCTGATGTCAGTTGTAGCCTCCTACTGCATGGAATACCTTGGGTCGTTCTCCCGACGTGAAAGGTGTTATATGAATCAATTTGGTATTGGTGGTCTTGTTGATATCCTGGATGACATCATCTATCTCAGCACAGATTTGTATTCCACTTTATGGTCACTCTGATCTATATAGTTCTCCATTCGCCACCAAGCCATGAAGGCAGTGCCCAATATACCAACTTTCAATTCTAATGATAGGAAGAAGCTGTGTATCCTGAAGCTCTTTTCTTTCACTGGTTCAAGTTAAAGTTCTAGCTCTGAGTATATATTTGAGTATGTAAGTGTAGAACTCTTTCCTCCCCCTACACAGTCTGGATATAAAGTAGTGAGCTTTTAACTGACCTGCATGTTATCATCTGTATTGAAAGTGCTATGGATTTTCCTGTGCACAACACACTGTTGTCTTAATCATAGGATTTCTGCAAGATAAAAATAAGTAATTTGTACATTGCTGTGCTTTTCTTATTGCTATGATGCAATGTACACGCATCATTAACTTGTACGTTACAGTAATTCATGCATTAGAGATTTGTTCTCAGTGTGATTTGAACTGCAGATGTTAAAGCTATCAGCACTTTGCCATCATTGCCGATGGCAAACAGTTCAAAATGTTGTGAATTAAAAACAGCAGGAATCCCAAGATTGTCTTAAGGTTTCCTTATAATCTGCTGAGCTGTGTGTGCTTTTCTGCTTACAGTTAGCCCTTTGTTTGTCTCACTACACTGTTGTTCTTTTAATGTCTCTTCATTCTGAAATGTTAATGCTGTAAGGTAATCTATGGCTCCGTGTACCTTCCTCATTCAATTCAAAATCATGTTTTTCGACCTTTGCAAGGTAACGATAGAGAAACAAATACCATTCCAAAAAAGAACATTTAAGAACATCTTGTGTCTACTATAATAAACCTTGTATTTGATATAGCACTTTATCATATCTCAAAGAGCTTAACATGAATTGCTAGAAAGTTTAGTGACTGGGTATTAGTGGGCACATATGGCAGCCAATTTGTGCATAGCAATGTCCCATAAATAGCCATAAAGTGAATGACCAATTTAATCCAGGAGATATTGACCAGGACACTGGGAGAAACTGCCTTCTTTTTTGAATTGTGCCATGGGATCTTTAACGTCCATCTTAAACAGGCAGACACAACCTTGGATGAAAGTCGCATCAGATGAATGGCACTCTTGACAATGCAATGCCCCCTCAGCACTGCAATGGAGTGTTATCCTAGACTGTTGGCTATTATTGCTTCCAGCAGGTAAATGAGAAGCAGCTTGATTAAATTCCCTTTCCTATTCACTTTGAATAGTTAGAAACTACAGAGAGTTCTCTAAATGTAGAAGAACTGAAAAACATAATTGGCTTATCTTTAGGCAAAAAAAAGTTTGAGACTTCAGAGTTCCAGCAATTCTAAAACTATTTGAACAAAGCAGTAGAAGTAAATTTGGACATTACAATGTAGTGTTGACACAAGGATTTGTACAATGCAGGACAAAGTGGAGTCCTGTAGCTCAGTGGTTAGAGCACTCGCCTCGCAAGCGAGAGACCTGGTTTTGATTCCCAGCAGGGTGAAACCTTGGGTAAATTTCCTTACTCCACATGCCTGATGATAATCCCGCAAGAAAAATAAATAATAAAAAAATTGGTCACTTCAATTCACGACAGTTTGTGGGACACCTCTGTGCCAATTGGCTGCTGCATTTCACCCACAAATATGCAGACAATTCACTTTATAGTATATTCTGTAAAGCACTTTGGGACTTCTAGAAGATGTGAAAAGTGCTATATCAAATGCAAGGATTATTATTATTATTATTTTTAAAACAATACATAAGAGATTTGCGACAGCTTAATACTTCCAGATGTAACTAAAAGCATAAGCTGAAAAAAGCCCATGCATGATGTTAAAATTATCACTGGTGGTATTACATTATCCACAATTTCGCCCCTGTTGATATCTCTATCAATGTCTGCCTATGGGTTAATTCTCATGCGTGTCATAATGATTGTGATGTGGGGCATTCAAGCAGCCTTTAATTACAGATGGAAGCTCCAGGGAAACTTTGTTATCACGTGGTTGGCAAGGTCCAATGTCCCAGGGAATAGTCAGTGTCAGAAACCAGATGTACTGCATTTCTAGTTAACGTGAGACCATCGTAGACACTATAATACTGTAGATTATAAGCATAGCAGAGATGCATTGAAAGAGTACTAGAATGGGGTTTCCTTGGACTATGGTTGGTGCAGAAAGCTTTGAACTAGTTTAGGGCCAATGTTCCAGTCTTTCTGAATGTTTCTATCCTTGTCGTTTTGGGTTGAATGTAATATTCACTGGTACAATTTTTTTTTGTAGGGGATAGTTATCACATCCTATAGTGCATTTTTCACCTAAAAAGTATTTTAGTGCCTTCATATATTGCTAGGAATGAGAATAGTGAGGAAGAATTTAAATATCCATTTCTTAAGCAAAATAGATGTGGGTCACATGAAATCAGAACTAATTAAGCTTCAAATTTCAACAAATTCATTCATCACTAATGGGATGGAACAGGTAATTTGATAAATACATGGAAGAGGATTCTGAAACTAACTTTTTAAACTAGTTGTCATTAAATTATCTTCTATGTGTATTTTAGAGCACCTTATGCCGTGAGATGATCTTGTACCAATGGTAGCAGATGTTATTTCTTGCATGAGCCTCCCAAAGTGCAGAATGTTTGTCTTCTTGGTCAAAAATAAATGCAAACCATATGGTCTTGTTAATCCTTTGAAACATGATGGACAGGGTGATTTATGATGACACACTTTGAGAATACTTAAAATATCAGCTCGGCTCAGTTGGAATCATTCTCACCTTTGAGTCAGAAGGTTATGGATTATGAATTCAAGCCCCACATCAGGGTTTTGAACTTATATTGAGGCCTAACACTCCAGAGTGTTGTCAGGGAGTGTTGCGTTATTGAAGGTGCCTTCTTTCAGATGAGATGTTAAATTGAAGGCCCTTTTTGCCTGTTCCGACGGACAATAAAGATCCAATGGCACTGTTCGAAAAGCGAATGCGATTTCCTCTGGCTTCTTGGTCAACAATCCCCCAAATAAAATTGGTCAAGTAGGTGTTGTGTTCGCCTATAAACTACACTTAACCTGTATATCTTGTGAAGTTCTTTGAGACATCCTCTCGACTTCAAAAGTGATTCAAAGATGTTTTTGTGTTCTCCCTGTATGGTTATTGAGGAATCTCACTGGAAATTGCCGCCTATTATGAGTTCATGATGTATTTATGTCATTTTATGGGTGGTGAACAAGCAGGCTAAAAACAAATGTAATAATTATTCTGTCCCGTGAGTTTCCGTTAAATTGAACAGCTTTGGAAGCCTGATGTTTAACTGATATTTTTGATGTTTTATCCTGAGTTCACTTGAAGAGACAATGTTAATTAACTATGATTCTGGGATTACTACATGCCTCACACACATTGAGTTTGCCATTAGTCATACATCAGTTGTTAAAAGTTGGAATCTTAAGCATGTACCGGAAACAAAAAAGTGGTGTCAACAGGGAAACTATTGTTCTGAAAGACACATTGCAGTGATTAATTTCTGAACCAAAGACATAATTAATTCAAATGTTCCACTTTACTTACATATGATCGCTTCAACTACCTAATTATTGCTTCTAAAAGCACTTTCATTTCTGTTAATAGTACTGCTCTTGGATTTATGACCATCGTGCGGAAACATTATGTTTTGAATAGCCTGTTTTTGAAAAACATGTCACATATTGTCAGGGACCTTGTAAAGAAAATGTAAAGACAGAGTTGAAGCCCAAATTCTTTACAACATTTTAACATATTTGACATTGAATATCAGTTTTTGAACAAATACTTCATTGAAATGTTTAAGAAATTGTAGGTGGATTCCTATTGCATTTGTTCTATCTAGTATCATTTTCTGCCCATCTCTCTTCACCCCCCTCACCCACATTCCTCTTGCTCTGTCAAGGACATGGTAATTTGAGTCCCATAAACATCATCATTGTTGCTCCTTGAGTGACCAAGGGGATGTAAGTGCATCCAAGGTGAACGTGTGACTGTCAATCTTACCATCTCTCACCCAAGGCAAACTATTATATTCCCATGCACCATCTAGTGGCCCAATAAAAAACAAATAAAACTCAACCAATCGAAACCAAAAAGATCACCTCAGGGTCTTGGATCTGCAACCTTCCATGTAGAATGCAAGTGGTGCAATTTTTGTGGTTCCAGACTGCTACTGCTAATGTATTTCCTTGTTGAAAAGTATGGTTGGACTAAATCCATTAGACACCTGCCTGGAGTCATTTAAGTCTCCAGCCATAACGGGAAGAAGGCAGAGTAGATGTTCTATAGACCAAATTGGCTGACTTGCCTGTTTCATGTGATCTAAAAAGAGATATGACAGTTACAATTAATGCATCACGATAGCAAATTAGGTTTCTTTAAGGACAATGGGACCTGTGTCAAAGATTTTCTGCTCTTTTCACAAGCTCTACAGGTATTCAGAACGTTTGTTGAATTGTCAGTATATCCTCTTGTTAAACAGCCATTGCTAAACCATCTCCAAAAAACAAAACAATAATAAATTGGTCATTTTCAATCCACGACTGTCTGTGGGACATTGCTGTGTGCAATTGGCTGCCACGTTCACCCACAAATACACAGTCAATTCACTTTACAGTATATTCTGTGTAGCGCTTTGGGACGTCTAGAAGACGTGAAAAGCGCTATGTCAAATGCAAGGATTATTATTATTATTATCTCATTCTATTCGATAAAATAGTCAAACCAAATTAAATTAAATTAACTGTTTCCTTTTTAGCGACTGGTACTATCTGTAGTTTATAATCTGACAAAGAATAGGATTCACCTCCCTAAAATCCACTAACTCTGGGAGGGTGGGTTGGAGGGGTGAGCAATGCGTAATATGATTTGAAATTTTGATCACTCTTAAGTTGGTATTGGGAAAATCTTGATTTAGATAACAAAGATTTCAGGAGCACAGATTTTACCAGATAGCAGTCTAAAAAAAAAGTTTTTAAAAAGTTAAAAACCAATTATATCTGCTGGGAGTAAAAAAAACTTTATACTGTGTTACAATCACGCAAATTCAATTCTGAAAAGACTGAAGGAAAAAGTATTCCCATTCCTCACAAGTTAAGGGGATTCAATTGCAAACTTGTTGTTAAGGGCAGAACCCCAAACTACCGCATTTCTCTCCTTGGCATAATTATCACATCATGCAATCTGATTTCCCTTTACCATTGCCACACACAGGCAGCTCCACAACACAAAAAACAAACCAAACCAGTTCAACGCCTTGCACCAGTTACCCAGTTATTACAAGTGTATTGTAAATGCTCACCTTGACCTCTAAGGCTTATCTAACTCTAATCTAGGTTCAGTCTGTGCTGCTCAACAGCATTAATCATATTTTCAAAACTTTGTCCTGCAATATTTGGGACAACAGGATATTTTCTGCATTTTTTTCCTCTGTAATTTTTGATAATAGTTTCTGAGCATAAACCGAAAACCTTTATTTTCTACACGACAAACATTCATGACTTGTTTTGGTGTTAGGATTGCAATTTTGGATTGCATTTTGTTTCGGAATAAATATCAACTCTCGACTTAAACAAGTTGGAAGAGCACGAAATGTGCTGCTCCAGATCCCCTTTGCTCTCCTCCCACCCCTGCCCATCAGCTCTGTCCAGAGAGAAATGGAGGTGCCCTGAAGGAGTAAAATGAGAGACAACGGAGTTTGACTGATCAATACAAGTCAACAGAACAGATGGAAAATAAAAATTCTAATAAATCAGTTCTGACGAAGGGTTGAGGACCCGAAAAGTTGACTCACTTTCCTTTCTCCATAGATGCAGGCTGACCTGTTGAGCGTTCCCAGCGACGTCTGTTTTTGTTTCAGATTTCCAGCATCTGCAATATTTTGCATTTTGTTCCAATTAATACCTTTTCACCCAATCTGGGAAGTGACTGCTGTAGAGCACACACAGCTTTTCTACGAACCTCCTCTGTATTGAAGAAATACGGCAGAAAATGTAATGTCTTAAACAGAATCAAGAAGTTGGAGGGCAAGATTGCGAAAGGAATTGGATTGCTTGTAGTAAAGATCGCTGTGGCAAAAGAAGATAATTTGGTCAGTCAATCCATGACTGTTTTGTAGGACACTGCTGTGTGCTACCACGTTCTGCCCACAAAATACACAGTCAATTCACTTTACAATATATTCTGTGAAGTGCTTTGAGACATCTTGATGATGTGATAAGGCGCTATATCAAATTCAAAAATATTGTTATTAAATGGTGCTAGCTTTTTTTTTGTCATGCTTCAGATTGTTTTAGTCTGTAATAATTTAACATTTTACTATTGTTTGTAATTGATGTCTGGTGGGATAGAGCAACTATTTATGTTTTGCATCGGTCAGTCACAGATATGCAGAGGTTGCCAGAATTATAATTTCTACATTCTGAAAATGTACTTGAGAAGTAATGAACGCTTTCACCATTCTGTTTTTCTTCTGCTCTTTAGGAAAATCATGCCGTGATTCATTTTACCTATGCAAAAATGGAAATTGCATAAATGAAACGCTCTTGTGTGATAAGAATGTTGACTGTGAGGATGGATCAGATGAGAGGAATTGTTTTGTCAATGAATGTGCAAATAAGAGAATTAGTGGGTGTTCACAAGACTGTCAAGACCTGAAAATTGGGTACAAGGTTAGTATTAATGCAAGCTTTGAGTAGGAATTATGATCAGTAATATATTCAATGCTTGTCAGGGAGGGAAAAAATAAATCTGTGGTTGATTGAAATGGGCTGTCTTTAAAACCATAAATCTGGCATTTATTTTAACCAGTCCTTCACGGTTCAAAACAATTAAAATTTAAATTTAAAGTAAGAATCTTAGGGTGCATTTCTCAGGAGTACTTACAGACGTTGGTGACTGAAATTGTGTGAGTCTCCAAGTTATTATAAAATGAAACTCATGCACCAGTAAACTTAGGTGTCATTTGCTAATTTTCCTGTATTAATCTTTTAATTACTCAACGTTTTGTTCAAGCTTTTTAACTGTCCAATTGAGGCCCAAAGTTTGTCCTATTCAAGCTTTGTGGAGTCCTGCAGCTCAGTGGTTAGAGCATTCGCCTCACAAGCGAGAGACCTGGGTTTGATTCCCGGCAGGATGAAACCTTGAGCAAGTTTCCTTACTCCACACGCCTAATAATAATCCCTCAAGAAACAAAACAATAATAAATTGGTCACTTCAATCCACGACTGTTTGTGGGACACTGCTGTGTGCAATTGGCTGCTATGTTTCGCCCACAAATCACTTCAATTCACAGTCAATTCACTTTACAGTATATTCTGTGAAGCACTTTGAAACGTCTAGAAGATGTGAAAAGCACTATACCAATGCAAGGATTAATTTTATTATATGTAGCCTTTAAGACCAATGTGCAGAATTTTGGAATATTGTTGCATTCAATCTTAATGTGTAAGTCCATCCTTTTAAGAGCTACAAGAAGTTGTCTTCCAAATTAAGACTGAATTTAAGAATTTTCCAAAATTCTGTGTGAATTCTGAAATTGTAAGACAATGTTGCTTGGGCTAGGACCAGGAGGAATTGCAGACCTTTGGTTTCTGTAATTTGCCATTATTGTGCATTTTTGTGGAAATGAATGTTCCCACAACAATTATTGGGTGATACATTTTCTCACTTGTGTGAGGACTGGACATGAGTGAAAAGTTAACGTCCGTCAGTCATTTCTTCTGTAGTTCAGTGCATTTTGTGGCAGGATTTCCTGTGAAGCAAAATACTGATTTTGTTTGTGATTTTGTTTAATGAATAAAAACTACATACTGTCAACGAAAGCTTTCCATCCGAATTATTCTATAAATAATATTTTTTTTTGCAAAGTGAAGGTCTTTTTAAATGAACTGCTGATTTTAGTAAAACATTTTTATTTGGCTTTCAGTGCAAGTGTTGGCCTGGATTCAGACTGAAAGATGATGGCAAAACTTGTGTTGACATTGATGAATGTATAACCACCTTCCCCTGTAGCCAGCAATGCATCAATACCTATGGGACCTACAAGTGTTTGTGTGCAGAGGGTTATGAAATACGAGTGGATAATCCCAATAGCTGCAAAGCTTTATCAGGTGTGATTTTTGTTTACTTCTATCCTGTATTAAGCCTCTGTGTAACCTCACAGGAAGTACGAGAATAAATTGTGAGTACTTTAAATATTAATGAGAAAAATTACGGGATGCTTAAAGCGTTCCTAAACTATTTTTCTGAATGACTTTGGGAATGCTAGCAGGTAGCGACCTTCATTAGTTAAGTGATTTGCTCTGCTTAAGGATCAAGCACTACCAACTTTTTCTGACCTTGAATTGAGGACCTTGTTTATTTTTATGCTAATATTGAACTTTTTTTTATCAGCTTAGTATTATTTTTGCCATGGTTTATTTTCCTTGGGAAGGCTGGAATATATGTTCTTGAAGAATATATTTTAGGAAGGGAGCTTATGGCAGAAATGTGAACCATCGATGTTATAAAAGGGAATTGCATTTTTTGCCTCTGTTGTTCCTTGTTGCGTGGAATTCTCATTTGGTTTGGATGCTCTTAAGCGTGGAGATGGATTTACACATGTGTCAGACACCCAGCTGACTAAAAAATAAAATTGCTGTGTGTATGCTCGACAACTTCTATTTCGGTGGAGCTTGTTAGCCAAGCAGCAAAGAATGTGGGCAACAACATGATGGCTGGGTCAGAATTGAAATAGAGGCTTTAATTTGAGTTTTCTTTCCATCTGATATTTCTCCACCTGCAAAACTGCTTGATGGGTTGATGGAATCACTGGACATGTGAGGTAAAAACTGTAGAAGCCACAGTTAACGCCATATCAGTCTTGACAAACTGTACTGTAAAATACTGCACTTGGGCTTCATTGCGTTGTATCTGCAAACCTCTGTGATTTCAACCCCAGTATCCTTAGTCCATGTAGGATTATGTTTTTTTTAATGTATTTTCCCATGTTCCAGTTTTTCTCTCCTTTTGTCGAGCACATGATTGCCCCCTGGCATAGTTCAGTGTGTAATGGCAGTCCTCTGGTACCACGCTCTGATAGCTAATCTTCAGGTGTGAATCATCAGAATATCTTAAGGTCTTGGGGAAGGGGTGGGGTGGGAGAGAGAGAGAGATGGGAATCAATTATGAAGGACACTAAATGGAGATGATAAGTGAGATCCTTATGCTTTATTTGTTCCCTCCTCGCTTATTCTTTTGAGGCCAATGGAAATGGCTTGCTGCTATACTTCCTGTGATCAGCTAATTCAATACAGACTAAATATTAACGCAGAGACTTCATAAAACAGTATATTTACCTGCTGACCTGAATTGAACATATTTTGTTCATTTATATTTTATTTATTTATATATATATAAAAAGGGCATTAGCATAATTGTATATTTATACAGGCTTCATAAATGTTTGTGATTGCTGCACTTAGTTAACTACTCTTACTGCATATTCAGCTGAGGAGCCATTCTTGATATTTGCCGATCGACATGAAATAAGAAAAATGAGTATAGATGGATTCAACTACACGTTACTGAAACAGGTAGATTATTTTTTAACACCATCTTTTGTGAAGCCTTATGTTTAAAGACGAATGATTCAGCAACATTTAAGTTTGTTTGCATTGCAGGGGTTGAATAATGTTCACGCAATAGATTTTGACTACAGTGAACAGTTTATTTACTGGACTGATTTCACCTCACAAAGCAGCACCATATCAAGAATCCGCCTGAATGGAAGCAATCCAGAGGTAGGAATATTTCATCAGCAATTTCTTGTCTAAGACGTTTTGTCTGTGAAATGCATTGCTGACCTTAACATGTTTGTATTGGGGCTGGGAAAAGGTGTTGAATGTTGTTATGAATCTCAAAGAACAAATATTAATAATGATTTCAATCCTGGTTTGTAGCAAATGATGATAAATAAATACATACATACATGCATGTATACATATATACATACACACACACACACACACATACAAACATAAAGCAAGGTTTGTGATTGATGTAACCCAGATCTATTTAATTTCTATTTGATTGCAAAAGGAAACAATGGCAGTCACCTAATATTTGTTTTGTGTTGCCGTTTACAAGACGGTTAAGTCACGTCATAAAATGTGACCGGATTATTAGCCTCTTTCTGTAGGACAATAAGCAATGCTGCTGATAGAGCGGGTTTCACTGTAATAGGGTCCTGAACAAAATGTTGCAATTTCAAGTGAATAGAAGTGCAAATCTAACATTTTCTCCTGAATAGTGTATTAATACCTACATGTTGCCAGGAGGACAAAACCATTGTATTGTTCTCCCAAAGTATTTCATTTGTCAGGATCCAAAACAAAATGCATTTTACTCTTTTTCATTTTACTCTTTTTATAAATAAACTTCACTGAGGCAGAACCAACAAGGCTAGGATCAAACGTGAGTGGGTTCAGCCATTTCATATTATTTCTTTGTCTTATTGCAAATGAACTCCTGAATTATTAAAGAGATTTTGCCTTGCTGACTGAGTGTTCCATCAAGTCTGTAATCTTACATGTCATGTGTACCTTCCCTTGTGTAATGATCCAATAATCTTAATAGTTAAAAGTGTTAGGTAGATGATGGAGCTTGTAAACATATTTGTTTTGAGCATTGTTGGTCTAAGCTAACCTTTATGTGGGTAAAGTTTTGATACATTTTTTTGAAAATGTAAGGTTAACATGAACTTCCAAAAAAAATAATTTGACTATAAAAGGTTAAGGTGGTTTTTGAAATTATATTGGGATAAGAACACCTGCATTGCAAGCCAGAGCTTCAATTTTAAGTCCAGTTCTATTAAATCTGTGGTTAATCAAATCAACACAATCATCTATATTGCTGGAAATGAAGAGAAGGAAGTTTGCTTTATAATTTCCACTTTGTAACAAAGATGTTACAAATAAAATATTCCTATATACCTGATTTTTACCATCCTATGCACATGTTGTTTTGTGTAAGCATAGAACTCTGGAACTGTGTGATGGTTTTTTAATGTTATTCTGTGATAACAATAAATGGTGCCCTAAAAGATCCACTGGACCACGTAAGAACTTTCAAATGATCCTGTGGACCAGAGCATAACTTAATTTGTGCCTGTCATGTTTATCTTTCAATAGGGCAAAACAAGCTGCTTCCAAAGGCATTGCCACCAGGCAATGTCAGGAACTAATGCAATTTATGCTGTCTTACCCCTTTTACTTTGCTCAGCCGGGTGTCTTGACACATGTGGAAACCCATCACCATGCTTCAGAGTATCCAAACCAGACTTAAAGTTCCACATATGTTTGCCACCCACAAATGCCAAATTTCCTGTCTGAAGTAGAATGCGTACTCGCTCAAACTACTAAGATTGCCACTGAAGATTAACTCGGCATTCCATTGCAAAACACATCACCTTCAAGCCAGCTTACCCCACCCACCCACCCCAAAAAAAACTAGACCTCAACTCTGATTGCTGTAATAATATCTAATAATCCTTACAATTAATATAGTGCCTTTCATATCCAAGAGATGTCTCAAAGTATTTTACGGAATTTACTGTAAAAATAATAATAAATATAATCCTTGCATTTTGTGGGCGATATACGGCAGCCGATTATGCACAGTAGGTCTAGATGAAAAAGTGTAGAGATTGTGTAGAATGCATGTATTGTAGATGAACATGACAACCAAATTGCACACAGTCATGTCCCACAAAACAAACATAATAATAATAATCCTTGCATTTATATAGCGCTTTTCACATCTTTTAGACGTCTCGAAGAGCTTCACAGAATATACTGTAAAGTGAATTGACTGTATTTTTGTGGGCGAAACGCGGAATCTAATTGCACACAGCAGTGTCCCGCAAACAGTTGTGGATTGAGTGACCAAATTATTATTGTTTTTTTTGAAGGATTATCAACACCGGAAAAGCGATCCACCAATCGATTAACAACCGGGTTTCTACTTACTGCTAGGTAAACAGAGGTGTGTGGAGTAAGGAAACTTGCCCAACATTTCGCCCTGCTGGGAATAGAACCCAGGTCTCTCACTTGCGAGGCGAGTGCTCTAATGACTCTGTGGCCAGAGTCAATTTTACCTGGGAAATTGTTGGCCAGGACACTTCTCTTTTCAAATAGTGCCTCGGGATCGAGGCATTTGGACAGAAATCTTGATTTAATGTCTCATCTGAAGAACAGCACCTCTGACAAGGCAGCATACACCCAGCACTGCAATGAGGACACTGCATAGAGTACATGAGTTCAGAGTCTTGATATGGGGCTTGAATCCACATGGGGCTGCCACAGTTGCTTATAAAGGAGACATTCACTACAGTTTACAGTATATCCTGCGAAACAATTTGAGATATCCTCCTGATGTGAAAGGCATTGCATCAAATGTAAGGATTATTTATTAAGAGCGAAAAAGTAGGGAAATGGGATTTTTTAAGATAACTCCGGTGGGAAGATAACACCACACAGGCATGTCCTACTTATGCTGAATTTTTTTCTAGGTCTTCTTTATTAACGGTAAAAGTGAATCAATGGCATTCACTCATGAATGCAGCTCTGCACTTGGGTCCACAAAGGCACCTGTGGAGAGTTTTGCATTCAAGGAGCTCAGAGTTGTCCAAGCTATGCGGTATATCTCTGTGCTGCCACTTTGCACCCATCTTCTAAAGCTTGTACTAGCATTAATTGCACTATCGCTGCAGCATACAAAACAGTTTTTCAAAGCATTTTGAAATGACAGCAAAGTATTTTCATTTGCATAAAACACTGAAGATAATGATTTCAAGTAGATTTGCTTTAGAGATTTTTTTAGAAGAGGGATTTACACTCAATTGTGTTCAATGTTTACATTAATCAATATTTGAGAATGTTCATAGGATTTCAGCCGATACTCCTCTCAGACGTATCCAAAGCACGATCCTTATTCATTATGCATGGTACAAATGTAGTTCTTTCACTCTGGCCACAGAGTCTTCGATGATGTTAGTGATGTGGTGCTCAGTTTAATTGTATTTGTATCACCTCAGGTGATAGTCTTGAAGGTCAGTCTTCGGAGTTGGAAGCAATCTTGTGGAAACTGAACTGCTGGGGAAAATCTCCTTTATTGTTACAAGGGTAACAATGAAAAGAAAATCAGGACTCAAGTCACTGACCTAAATAATAATAATAATCACAATCGTTGGATTTGATATAGCATCTTAGTCCGTTGTTGAGAAGTCTCAAAGCGCTTCACAGAATATATTGTAAAGTGGATTGACTGTATTTTGTGGGTGAAACACAGCAACCAATTACGCACAGCAATGTTCCACAAACAGACGTGAGTTGAATGACCATTTTTTTTTTGAGCAGTTATAACACCCGGAAAGTGATCTGCCAATCGATTAACAACCGGGTTCATACTTACTGCTCGATAAACAGGTGTGTGGAGTAAGAAAATGGGTAAGGTGTGGGCAAGCTTGCCCGACAGCAATATCAATGGCAAACTATGTGGTATTAGAAGGTTAGACTCCAGCATTTACCCCAACGCGCACTCTGGGGTCCCTAAACCATAGCTTTGCCAACCTGCGCCTAACACTTTCCGGAATTAGGAAAGCAGCTGTGGCCCTCCAGGGAGAGAGTGCACATTCCATTCCAACAATCTATCTCTGAGATTTCCATGTGTATCTGGGATGCATGTAAATCTGAGCTTGGTTTGAATACTCTTAAGTATGGTGATCGGGGTACACCTGGCTGACACCCCAAAAAGTGGCTTTCGGCCTGCCCGGGGATTGAACTCAGGTTCTCTCGCTTGAGTAGCCCCTAAATAAGCCCAAAGACATAGCATTAACAGAAACCTTCATGCATTCTCCTATCAGTTTAAATGCACCCAGCCTTACTACATTCCCATCATCAAAATTTTAATACCATCAGCAATAATAATAATAATAATCCCTGCATATCATATAGTGCTTTTCACGTCGGGAGGACATCCCAAAGCGCTTCACGGAACACACTGTAAAGTGAATTGACTGTATATTTTTTGTGCGAACGCGGCAGCCAATTATGCACAGCAATGTCCCACAAACAGTCGTAGATTGAAAATGACCAATTTATTATTGTTTTTGGTTTTGGAGGGATTATTATTAGGCGTGTGGAGTAAGGAAACTTGCCCAAGGTTTCGCCCTGCCTGGAAATGAACTCAGGTCTCTCACTTGCAAAGCGAGTGCTCTCACCACTGAGCTACAGGACTCCACAATAATATATTTCCAATAAACTTTCCAGGATCTTATGTATTCTGATTGAAGTGTATTTAGTCTTTGGAAAGCGATGGGGCAACATTGTTATTTTGACTCAGCAAATCTTCAGTAAGTTGTTTGTTTTTAACAAAATGAAATCCATCCCTCTTATCAACATCTGCAACAATAACAACAGATTAATGCCTGTGATTAATGATCAAGGCTAATGATCAATAATGTGCCATTTAGAAACTGGTTTTGCAAGTAGTGTCGTTCAGCTTATTGAATGATTTAAACATTTGCACCCACTTGGCTGTTGCAGCATTTCCAATATATAATACCCATAACTTTTTACCATATTGACATCAGGCTTTTCTTGCCTTTCTTATTCTGAATGAATAGATTTTCTAGGAAATAGATTTGCCATCTGAACCGTCCTACTTTTAATTGTTAATGAGGGTGTTGTGTAAGCCTTGTTGCCCCGTGTGCTTTCAACCTGATTTGTGTAGCAGAGCCCATCAACACATTTGCCACAGTAGGCAGTGGATTAATGTTGGGGAGTCCCACAGTGCTCTGCTGAAAATAACTCCTGAAGTATCTGATTGTTCACACCTGCAAACCAAAAATAACACTGACAGTTAGATAGGGCTTTGTCTTTGATGACCTTGCCAAACTACTTGGCTGAATCCATACCTGATTCCGAGCTGCTGATAATTTTGGACCTAAGTCAAAAATCTTATCTCATAATATATTTGCTGCTGCATAAAATGGGAGAGAGTTCAGGCAATGATGTGCACACAGCCCATTATACTTGCCTCATTGTTGGTTTCCTCTTGCTGTTTTATTTAAAATCATTTGTGGCCAAACTAAATAAATTAATATTGGAAAGATCACACCTTCTCTTGAATGAATGAAATTCCTTGACACAGGAGCTTAGGCTGACACTACAAGCATTATTTAAGAACTAGATACTGGATTTGATGTGTGCCGTTACCGAGAATTGAGCTGAATCTCACCAAACTGTTGCTCCCTTGGGCTTGGCCCTGCACATGTTTCTTCACCTCTCTCTGGAGATTATATAAATGAGAAAAATATCTGACAATACTGAATGTACTGGAGAAATGGGATTTAAAACTTTGCCACAATCTAGTAAAACGACAGAACAAGCTGCACAAGAACATTTGGTAAGCGAAATAGCCTTCTTCTATATCTTATGTTCCTATGAGACCCGTTACTTAGGCTCTTATATCATTTTTTTGTTCTGCACTTTGTTTATAGAAATATCTTCCCATAATCATAAAATAACATCTACTTCTGTGCTCTTAGGTTGTTATCCTATGGGATTATTTTCACATTGAATTTGATCAGTTTTGTGTTCCTGCCTGTCACAACCAGAGGAACCATGTCATTTTGTGCTGAACAATTTGAAGTCGAGTAAGATACTGAAAGCAATTTGGAAGATGCCTGGATCTCGGTTTGATTGTCAAACATGCAGCTGTTCGCTAACCTGTTGCGATTTGTATCTTGATATCTATAAAAATGTTCAGTTGGCAGGTTTTATGCAGAAACCTATGGTACTCGTCCTAATACCAGAAGAGTTAAATGACTAAACTTCCCATCGCCCTGCCCCCACCCCCCACCCAAAAAAACCAAGAATGGGTGTTACATTTTACAGATTTCGCTTATTAAATCTCGAGTGAGCTTTTCTGGAAAGATAAGTTCAGATGGGGTGGAAGAGCCTGCTTCATTTGAAGTGATCTTGGTGTCTTGTGAATATATGATCTTTGTTCTGGCACATGTGATGGTTCAGAAAAATGCCACAGTATAGCTGTGCATTTGGCATAGCTAAGGTTACAAAAGCACCATTTCTATCCTCTTATTTATGCTTTCTAATGATTCGATAACATCATAAGATCAGACTTTATTTTGGTCATCATATGTAGTCCATTATTTCGGGGACATTAGCAACAGGAAAAAGCTGGAGAGATTTGTAATAAGGACAGATAGACTCTCATTAAGAGAACACAATGTACTGGATGTGTCAGCAGGCAAGCCAAACGATCATTTGTTTTCCTTCAAATTCCTTGTCTAGGTTCTCGTTGAGTATTTCCCCTTTGGCCCTTTATCTTGCTAGATAGCTGTCTGTATGTCCTGATTGATGTCCAAGCACACCAGTGTAAGGGTCAATGAAAGTATGTCATTGTGGTTTCCATGAGTAACACGAATATAGAGAGCGATCTGTATCTATAAATAGTGGGAAAGGCCAAACAGAAGGTAAATGATCTCATGTTCTTGCTTTTCCTTTGTAAATACGTTTTAAAATAACATCTGATATGCTCAAAAAAAAGAAATTAATGAATTCCTGAAAGGAGTAGGTATATTTTCTTATGATTATCATAATTATCTGAGAATGCTTTTATTGCTGCATCATATATATGTTGGTTGTCCTGTTTTGCAAATCACATGGGGATGGAGCTCCTCAAAGCGTCTGTGTCATGTGGGATGTGCAGTTAATTTATGCTTATGCCATCTGACTAAATTTATAGCTCTCCGACATGTTTTATTTGGAGATCCAGACAATACCTTTACAGAGCTTTGAAGCAACCCATCTACATTAATCTTAGTAAAAGCCCCTGGGAGAATATATCAATAGTAGGTAACCGGTGACTCAAGCATCACCTGAGGTTCCGAACTATCGTTGATATGATTCATTTTGCAGGATTTTGTGATTCCTTTGTTAGATTCAAGATTAATTGATCTTTAGCCTCCAGCTTAAACCTTTACTACATTCTCAACTTGCACATTAAGATTCCTGCACTTGAAGATGCAAGGGAAGAATTCTTTGCTCTACTCCTGGGAATTTCAGATTTAAAAGCTTTTGAAAAATAGCAACTTTTGCAGCAAAAGCGAACCTTGTTTTTTTTTGTTCAGCTTACTCACTCATTTAGAGGGAAATACTGACACAATTCAAAATAATGTCAGTATTCCATGTGTCTGACTGTACATAATAATCCTTGCATTTAATATAGAGCCTTATCAAGTTGCTGAGTCGTCTCAATGCGCTTCACAGAAAAGACTGTAAAGTGAATTGACTGTATATTTTGTGGGCGATCACCAATTGTGCACAGCAGTGTCCCACAAGCTCGTGGATTGAGTAACCAAGTTATTTTTTTGAATAAACACAAAAGTGTCACTGTGTAATTTTTCTTGTTATAAGTGTCCCCACAATCAGAATAGATGGCTGAATATCTGGTGCCTGTGGCTGATGCAGCACAACAAGTGTGATTGTGTTTTCCTAATAAAAAAACACTCTGTTGTACTTGCCAATCCAATGGAGCACATTTAATCCCTGCTGGATGTGTATCTTTGATAGTGTGGTGTTACATACACAATCTGGCAACTCAGTGGAAGTGTACATCAAACCGCATGGTGCGCATTCCACATATGGCTCTTAAGATTAATATTTGTACATAGCTTTCTCCATTAACTCTGGTGCTAGTTGGTTAAATTGAATAAGTTTCGACTGTGTAATCAGCGAAGTGTTTTGGGTGAGGGAAGCTCAAATCTGCAGGGAAAGGGTAATATGTGAGAGAATGTGAAATTATGCATATGTACCACAGAGCCACAAGGACAGTATTACTTGCACAGTGCTCTCGCTATTCAAAAGCTAATGTGAATTAAATTATTAATTTATCATCCAAGCAAATGAAAATAATTGTTCCAGCAAAGCTTGTTAGCAACCCTGGCTCAGTTTTTGCACCATGGAAATAGCCTTAAATTGCTTGTAGAACTGAACTCAATAATTAACCAGGAAAAAATAAACAAATGTTTTATGGAAAGAGCTTTTGCAAATGGAAAAGATCCAACATTATCATTACATTAAAATACTGGGATGAAGAAGGTCAATAGCTATCTTCTATCATCACAAATCAAATAATCTTCAGATTGCAAATTTCAAAGTAGGAGGAAACCCAACTAGCTAAAATAAGGGGAAAAAGAAACCATCTTGTATGCTAAAACCCTTAGAGTAGTATTTGTAACTTTACATAGTTTTTCTCCTCTACAAAATATTGGAAACATCAGTGCTGGAACTATTACAAAATACTTGATAATTAAACTCATATGTTGGTGTGCAAGATTTATATATCAAAATAAAAAGTGATACTGGGTAAGAATTAATGACAAAAAAAAGGTTTGAATCTGGTAAAGGCACTGGAAAAGCCAGTAAATCAGTACATTTTCTGTGTGAAACCCTCCCGGACAATTCTCTCTCTTCTAAACAATATTTTTCTATCAGTCCGCAAATATTCTGCTTAATAAATTCCCTATACAATACCCAGAAGAAAAGTGATCCAGGCAGCTCAGGAATTAAGTAGGTTGTCCAGATAACATACATATTCTCATACTTTGCTCTGTTTCATACAACTGTTGTATTTCCCAACAGATGGTTGCCTGAAGTGCACTCAATACCAGCTGATGGACACTGAATGCAGTTGCACATGATTTTGTAATTTTCTTCAAATGCAACAGCAACAACTTGCATTTATGTAGTGGAGGAGTTTTGATTGAGTTTTAAATTGTGCCTACCGGGAGGTCTGTGGGAAAAGTCTAAGCAGGATCCAAGCGTATAGAAGACATTAAATCACATCAAAAGCATGGAAAAGAAATGACCTGAATGCCGTCCAATTTTAAATTTCAATGAGTTTTTCTTATCTCATGCCATACTGCTCTACACCATTATCCTAACCAATTCTGGTCAATTGAGATTCAGACACCCACAGCCCATTAGGTCTTCTTTGCAATAGGCTTTCAGATCAAAATGAATGAACATCTGTGGAAAGAAAATGGTGATATGTGACTAATGATAAAGTGGAATTGAGTAAATATTGTGATCCCACTTTAATTGTGGTTTTCCTGGCATATATTTTGATCAGGTCTTATTGTGTGTGTGTGTGTGTTTTTCATGTACTCCGGTCAGATAAAGTTGACATTGCTGCAAATCGTGAATACACTTTGTTTTGGCAATTTCCATTGAATTTTGAATTCAATATATTTTGTAACCCACGTACAACAATTAAGGGAAATTATCTTATCCACTGTCACCAGGTATTATAAGTACTTTATACGTCTGAGTAACTAGAGTACTCCTTTGGGGTTTGGATTGTTCTGTGCAAACAATCTAATTTGTTTTGTTCTGCTGAAAGATTTATTTGAGAACTTAAATTTTTGCTGATCTTTATTACTCTAGGCATTCCTTTTTGGGGTCTATTTCAGTTCTCTGCTAGTGCATCAGGAAACATTAGTGATGTAATAAGCATTATTTTTTTATTTTGCTTTTGTAGGTGGTACAGCATACGGGACAAGCGATTCCAGATGGATTGGCTGTTGACTGGGTTGGCAAGAATCTATACTGGTGTGACAAAACAAAGCTAACTATTGAAGTCTCCAAACTTAATGGGCTTTATCAGACAGGCCTTGTCAACACAGGGCTGAAGACTCCTAAAGATCTAGCATTAGATCCTCGTATTGGGTATGAACAGTTTTATTTACAGTGTAAATATCATTGCAGTAGAAATTTCGTTCTCCACATTCGTGGACCTGTCACTTCCTGTGTGCATAAAAATAGAGAACCGTTATAGCACATCGCTGGGGGCAAATTGACTGCCACGTTGTCACCCAGATACACAGTCACTACAGTTTACAGTTCAATGAAGCACTTTGAGACGTTCTCCCATGAAAGACATTATATCAGATGCATTATTATTATAGAAGCATTCCAGTTATTGATATTTTTAAAACTAGAAATAGCCTTAGACATTCAGTACAAGCTATACTAATAGTACATAAGGATTAATACGTCTAATGTTTGCTTTAATTCATAGTACAATGGTAGATTATATTCTAGTACCTATGGGCAACTACAGTGCACAATGTGTTAATGATTCAGTTGTATTGTATTGAATTGCTTCACACCTATGTTTGGTGCTGGTTTGTAACCTTGTACTGGCTGTTCAGATCTGTCAGCTACAAATATAATATATTGTATCGTATCCTGGCTGGGCTACCAGGTGAGAATATGTGAGGGAAAGATAAATTATTGTTCCCTATAGCAACTATTTTTTCTTTCTTCTGACCATGCATGAAGTGTTAAATAACTGTCAAGCTGATCTTCACAGGCTGACTGGCTGTCTATCTGTCCCATACTTGCAGAGGAAGTTAAGCCAATGTAGAAACACACCTGGCAGATAGATATAAGGGATTTTAACTTAAGGTGGACATTAAAGAACACATGATACTATTTGGAAAGAGAAAGAGAGTTTCCCTCCCGCCCTCCACCCCTCCTGATCCCAACCACCAGCTCGGGTGCAGTTCCCTAACTGTCCAGCACCTTGGGATGTCCTCCTGACATGAAAGGTGCTATACAAATGTAATTTGTTGTTGTTGTTGCCAGTGTCTGGCCAATTATCATCTAGTTAAATTGTTGAATCATCTCCTGGTAGTTTGTGAAACACCACTTACATAAATTGGCTCCCACCTCGCCCATAGATTCACAGTCACTACACTGAACAGTTTCTACTGTGAATTCTTTTAAGACATTTCATCTTGCTAGAGCACTAGATCAAAGGCAAGGATTGTTGTCATCACTTCTCATCTAAATTCCATTTGTTCTGATTCAAAACACATTAGTCAGTCGGACCACATACTTCTAACCTATTTCCATAGAGCAATTCTGTTAGCTCCAATTACTGAAGCAAGAGGATGGTGATTATTCTGTCAGCAAGAGATCGTAAGAGAATACAATTAGCCAACAAATCCCAAACAGTGCCATTCTAGCAGTGCTTTGCAGGGACAACATGAGATAGGCAGCATTGGCTTGAGGGAAAACTCACATAAAAGAAAGCAAGACTAATTATTATATCTGATAGATTCTCAAAGAAAATAAACTTATATAATCTCTCACAGAGACTTGGCAATTTTAAGTAGGCAGGGAAATGATATGATGAAACCCAATAGATGAATTTCAATGTGGAGAAATGCGAGGTAATGCATTTTGGTAGAAAGAATGAGGGAAGGCAATATAGGCTGGTAATATAATCTTAAGGGGGGTATAAAGAGCAGAGAGACCTGGGGGTGCAGGTAAATGAATCCTTGAAGGTGGCAGGACAGGTAGATAAAGCTGTAAAAAGGGCATATGGGATACTAGGCTTTATAAGTAGGGGCATAGAGTACAAGAGTCAGGAGGTTATGATTAACCTATATAAACACTGGTTAGGCCGCAGTTAGAAAACTGCGCCCAGTTCTGGGCACCACACTATAGGAAGGATGTTAAGGCATTGGAAAGGGCGCAGAGGAGATTTACAAGAATGGTAACAGGAATGAGGGACCTTGATTATGAGGAAAGGCTAGTGAGGCTGGGATTATTCTCATTGGAGCAGAGAAGGTTACGAGGAGACCTAATAGAGGTCTTCAAAATCATGAGGGGATTTGATAGGTTAGAAAGGGAAAAAACTGTTTCCACTGGTGGGTGTGTCAGTGACTCGAGGCCACAGATTTAAAATAGTTTCTAAAAGAAGCAGAGGGGAGGTGAGAAGAAATTTTTTCACGCAGCGAGTTGTTCGAATCTGGAACGCATTGCCTGAAAGGGTGGTGGAGGCCGATTCGATAACTACTTTTAAAAACGCGGTGGATGGGTATTTGAGGAGGACGGGTTTGCAGGGTTATGGGGAAAGTGGGATTGACATTAATTGCTCTAATCAAAGAACCGGCACAGACTCGATGGGCAGAATGGCCTCTTTTTGTGCTGTATGATTTATGATTCTATGATTAGGGTTTGCCATTTTCCTGCACCACCCCTGTTCAAGTCATGTTTCCCATTGAACAGAAACATCCCAAAAGATCGGGAACACAAGGATTGTAAAATAAATCAAGAGTTGTGGTGACTCAAGTGTATTGAAAGTTCCAATATTTAATCCTGCTGTACTGAGAGAGCCGTCTGTCAGTTTGGCACCACAGTGGTAGCCTAAGGTTCTTCAGATGCCATGGTGTTTTTGACATGTTTGTGTGGAATTGAAGAGAAGAATATTAACCAAGAATTAACAAGCCCAAAGAGGTTCCACAGAGACTAGCCTCATTGTGACTTACTAGTTCACTTGGAAAATAAATCCATTCTGAACTACTGAACTCATTTAGTTCACAATACATTTTAGTGCTTTGGATACCACTGATGCAATCCTTCATATTTCTTTCCTTGATATTTATTGCTGTCTTCCAAACTGTCATATGTGATGAATACTGTGGTCTAAAATATGTTTTTAATATATATCTTTGATGCAAGACTTGAGGTGAGATGCAATATATGAAAGCTTAAATTTAGTTTGACACTTTTCTTATGAACATCTTTGAATAGATATTTGTATTGGACCGACAATAGTGATTATCCACACATTGGTCGTGTTGGAATGGATGGGACATCGCAAAGTGTTATCATTAACACAAAAATCTCAAAGCCAAGTGGTCTGTGCCTGGATTATGTGAATAACAGACTATATTGGGCTGAGGATCAGGAAGATTATATAGAATTTGCTGACCTGGATGGCTCCAATAGACATAGAGGTAGGTAAGGCTGTTTTTTTCCAATTTAGAATATTATTAATGTGTACATTTTAGTTATGCATGCTATGAATTAATAATGCCTCCTATTTAGTTTATAGATAAATTGTTAATTTGTTAAATATAGAATCATAGAATCTTGCAGCACAGAAGGCAGCCATTCAGCCCATTGCGCCTGTGCCAGCTCTTTGAAAGAGCTATCCAACTAGTCCCTGTACTTACTCTTACTACATAGCCCAGCAAATGTATCAGCAAATTAATTCTGTTTTCAAAATACAATATTGATCAATGCATTACATGGAATTATTATTTACTTACTAGCAGTGTGCCAATTATTATATAATTCACAGAGAACTAGCATCTTTCCATTTTTCCATGGCTAGATGACTGCATACATGTGATGTGTAGCTTTAATTTGTTGTTAAATTTGTTATTAAATGTCCATCTCAGACCATTACTTCATCTCCTTTAGCTCCTCAAACCCTCACCCCAACACCAACCACCCCACCTCCATCTCCTACAACCCCTGGAAAAAAATCTCCCCGCTCCCTATCCGCTGCCTTGAAGTCAACTGAACTCCTCCCACTCTGGGTTTCCTCCCACAATGACCTATCCTCCTTAGTCACTCTCCTTCACAACTCCTTCTCCGCCACTTTCAATGCCCAAGCTCCCCTCACTTCCCAAACCATCACCTTACTCATGAAAGTCACGTTGGTACACCAGCCACCTCCACTCCCTAAAGCACAGGTGCGTGCCACTGAACGCACCTGGCTCAAATCCAAGTTAACAGTCCATCAGCAGATCTGGCAAGATCTTGGAGGCCAAGAACAATCCCAGGCTCCTCTTCTCCATCACTAACCAACTCCTCCGCCCACCCTCTCATGCGTCGCCCATCATTTCCTCCATCGCAACTACGAGGCAATGCTGGACTTCCTCGAAACTAAAGTCAAAGGGATCCGCTCAGCTCCCTATGCTCTTCTATCTACTAACTCCTTCCCATCTCTTCCTCACACCCCAGCCCCTACCCATCCCTCCCTCCACACCTTCAAACCTGTCTCCCTCTCCTCTCTCACCACCACGATAACCCACATGAAACCGACCACCTGCTCCTTCGACCCCATCCCTACCCCTATCCTTACCTCTTAGCTCCACCTACTTTCCCCTCTACTTGCAGACATCATAAACCTACCCCTGTCCACTGAAACCATTCCCACTCCTTTACAAATGGCCCTATCTTCATCCCTATCCTTAAAAAACCCTCCCTGGACCCAACCCCACTCTCAAACTACTGCCCCATCTCCAACTTCCCTTTCCTTTCCAAGGTCCTGGAATTAGTCATTGCTTCCTAACTTTGCTACTTCTCTCCCACCCTTCCCTTCACAAATGCCTCCAATCAGGTTTCCGTGCCGCCTACAGGACAGAAACAGCTTTCGTCAAAGTGACAAATGAAAGTTTGTCCATCTGCAACCAGGGCTCCCTCTGCCTCCTCGTCCTCCTTGACCTCTCTTCTGTCTTCGATACCGTTGACAACTTTATCCTTATCCACCACCTCTCCTCTCACCTCAACCTTCATGGTTCTGTCCTTGAATGATTCAGATTGTACTCTCACACTGTCTCCACTTTATCTCCACAAATGGTTTCTCCTCTAGCTCCCTGACCATCTTGTGTGGTGTTCCTCAGGGCTCTGTCCTTAGTCCCCTCCTCTTCAATGTCTATATGCTCCCTCTTGGTGACATCATCCGCAGACACAGGGTCAACTTCTACATGTATGTGGATGACACCCAACTGTACCTCTCTGCCTCCACCCTCGACTCCAGGACTACTGTTGTGTTGACAGAAATGTCTGTCAGACATCAAGTCTTGGATGAGAGCTAACTTTCTTCAGTTGAACGTCAACAAGACCGAGGCCCTCCTGATTGGCTCCCATCCAACCCTCCGCAGTATCTCACAGGATCACCATCCATGGGTCACACTCCACCTCATTGAGCCAGTCCGGAACCTTGGCATCTTGTTTGACTCTCAAATATCCTTTCTGCCCCACATCTGTGCCATGACCCATTCTGCTTGCTCTGCCACTGTCTTACACTGCAGCCCCCGAAACCCTCATACATGCATTCATAACATCCAGGCTTGATTATGCAAACTCCCTGCTTGTCGGTCTCCCCAACTCCTCCCTCCACAGGCTACCCACTCAGCTCAGGGGACTCCAGCCTGCTTCACGTCCCCTGCCTCACCCACCCCACCATTGGCGGGCAGGCCTTCAGTCACTCTGCCCCCACCCTCTGGCTCCATCCCACACTCCCTCTGCCTCGCCCCCTCCCTTACCTCCTTCAAGAACCAACTCAAGACCCTCCTCTGCGACTATGCCTTCGATCACTCTCCTTCCTCCCCTGCCCTCCACCCTCCCTGATCCTGACCCCCAGCTCAGGTCCAGCATCTTGGGACGTCCTCCTAACTTGAAAGGCGCTGTACAAATGTAATTTTGTTGTTGTTGTTAAATCGATAATTTATGAACCTTTATGTGCTGCTTTATATACAGCCTTTTGAAAATAAATATTTGAAACATGCTTTTAAATGTACATTTCAATATAAAAATAAACCATTTTAACTCTTCTCATTAATTAGAAATGTTGGCAAATCTATCTGTGGGGTTTATGAAATAGAAAATAATTTAAAACAGTTTTTTCATTCCCAATTTAAAACTCACAACATGAAGCTGCAATTCTTTTCAGTGTAATTTTATGCGTTGAATTCAAACTTATTCATCTCTTTCTTACTCAGCATTTGGTTTATGGGACAAATGACTTTCCTTTTACGGTCTTTGATGCTTTGGGATTGGTTTCTATGGAAGTTGGTCAATTACTGCATGTCATGTTATCTTGCTCCCCATAATTTTGTCATACCAATGTCATTATACATTAGGTGGTAGCCACAATGTGATCATTAGTGCAACAGTGTGCAGTGTTGGATGTTTCAGTGACTCTGCAACACGATCAAGAAGGAATTCTGACCAAGGCTTTTGTTTCTTAAATTTCGAGTCCCAAGTTCTTTTAGATGTTTTGTGTTTCAAATCATCAAATGATTTTGATCAAAATTGGGTTTAGGAGGTTTGCAAAATTATAGTTTGAACCTGGTACTTTTGTTTCTTATTTCTGATTGCATTGTTTTTTTCTGAAACAATCTGGTTTAATCTTTAGCCAAAATGCCAGACAGGTCACTTTTCCCACATAATGACTGCCGTATGGAGAGGAGTATGAGAGTGGGTTGGGACAATGCCTTGTCTATGGGGAACCAGGGCAGCATTGTATCTTCACTGAGAATCTAACCAGGAACAAACTCATATTCTACCATTCAGGGTGTTATATGCTGCTACACCACCCCCAAGCTCTCTTTTTAGAGAAGTATAATTGTGTAGCTTTTCTAAGGCTTAGAGGGATAGCTATCTGCATTTTTCACCTTATCTGAAAAATTAAAGTGTCTCACAAGATGAAATTTTATCTTACCTCCATGATTGAAACACTGTACGTCAGGTTATCTGGCCCCCCACTGATTGAACACTGCAGCAGGATTAAGGCAAGAAAATGTTGTGAAATGAAAGGCAATTTTCAGAATGTTTACTGGTAGATGTTTTTTTATTATTTAGTTCAGACTCATTCTTTATATTTGCCTAGATACGTCTTTTAAACATGAGCTGAGTGGTCGAGTAATATTATTGTTGGTTGGTAATCCAAGCACGAAATGTTGTGTTGAAGTAGATCAATGTCAAACTTATTAGCAGATAACTTATACAGTTTTAATGGAGGGTAACAAAAAAAGTTTTTTTGTTTAAGAGTGCAAAATACTGAAAGTAGCAAATACAAAATAAATCTCTCCTCCTCAAGGATGTCAAAATCAAAATCATAAAAGCAAATTGATTCTGACAGCACTATTATATCATATTTGCTAATCTTTCAGTATTATCTTGGATCCTGCTTGTGACATTTCGCTCATGCCTATGGTGTTTCTGAAGTATTTAGTCCTGCTCACTTAATGGGATGAAATCCAAATTTCAGAGTTTACCATGGAGCAGATTCTGTACAGCCTATGCTCAATCCCATTTTCCTTTTCTTCTGATCCCAATTCTGCCAGCGTTCTTCATCTCAATTGAATCTGAGCACTTGAACTGATTTAATCGGATTCCAATTCAAGCTTTCAGAATGGTTTCTCATTCCATCGAGATGCACTAGCTTGCAGGAACAGTCCTTTCCTGTCCAGTGTTGGACTGAGTGAAACATTAGGAATTGGGTTCATGCAGTTAATCCTGAGTTCCTTTAACTGGTAATAGAGGATTTTAGGGAGCTGGCATTTTGTCACAGCAATTATTCACAAGAAGTTATGTGGCAGTAGTATCTGATAGCTCGTGCGATATTGAATATTGTAACTGGCAGTTGGCCAAGACAGTGCACTAATCTACCTGTATCCCATTGCAGTTCTTAAACAAGATATTCTGCACGTATTAGCGTTGACGTTATTTGAAGACTACATCTACTGGACAGACTGGAAAACTAAATCAGTCAGCCGAGCTCACAAAACCACAGGCTTGAACAAGATGTCACTAATCAGTTCCTGGCATCAGATAATGGACATCCACGTTTATCACTCTCACAGACAGCCAGATGGTAATTCTTCACAAGATCCTGTATTTTTTCAAAAGTTGCCTTAACGATTTATTCCTTCCCGCCCTCTGAATTTCCTTTCTACCCCAGATGCTTTCCCTGACCAGGCCCGCTTTTATCCACCTCTGCCATATTGCCTGTCTCCATCCGTACCTCATAACCAAAGCAGCCGAAACCCTCTTCCATGTCTTTGTCACTTCCCAGCTGTACTATTCCAATGCCCTCCTCGCTGGCCACCCCAGCTTCACCATACACAAAATTCAATTAATTCAAAGCTCCGCTGCGCGGATTCTCACCCACACAAATCTCCATACCCGCATCACACCAGTCCTTGCCAGGGTTCACTGGCTCCCAATTACTGAGTGGATCGATTTCAAGATCCTCTCACTTGTCTTCAAATCCCACCATGCCCTAAAATCTCTCTATCTATCCAATTTTGTTACCCCCCACTCCACCACCCACTGGCTCCTCTCAGCTGTTTCCGGCCTCTTGTTTGTCCTTCGTGTCTTCCGCTCCACGATCAGTGCCGTGCCTTCAGCCACTATGCCCCAAAACATTGGAACTCTCTCCCTCTATCCCTCCGTCTTGTCCCTCTCTCCCCATTTTCAAATCCCACCTAAACACCTTGCTTTTTGACTGTGCTTATGGTCACCTCCCCACTCCCTCTCCCCCTGGCTCAGAGTCAGACTCCACCACTGTCAAGGGCTCTGGGATGCTACCCCGCGTGAGGGGCGCTATATAAATGCAAGTTGTTGTTGTTGAACAATTTATATAATAATGTTTAGTCAATGATTTTCTCTTAAATAACCTCAAATTCAATATTGAAGGAGGAAGCATGTTCATTGTGAGTGCAATAAGGAATGCATAGCACTGTTTCCAGGACTCTGTATATTTCGATTCTGTATTGATAGGGACTATACCTCTAGTATTGATCTTTGCCCTGCTGAATCAACAGGAACTTTGTAGAGTTACCATATCAGACATTGCTACCAGAACATCAAAGGGTTTAGAATTAAGGAGTGTTTTTGTTTACTTCACTGAAATTTGCTTATGAGGCTATTCAATTTTTGTTCCATATCTGTGGATGTGCCGATGTAGGCGATTGCTCATTTTGAGCTCCAATCTCAAATGGCAGCTCCTTCTAGCTCCTTTCCTTCCTTTCTGACTGAAAGATATTGGCCAGAATTGCAGGAGAACAATGTACATCCTTGGAACAGTCCAGTGGATTTTCACTAACTCGGATACGAGTCCTGTAGCTCAGTGGTTAGAGCACTCGCTTTGCAAGTGAGAGACCTGAGTTCAATTCCAGGCAGGGCGAAACCTTGGGCAAGTTTCCTTACTCCACACACCTAATAATAATCCCTCCAAAACCAAAAACAATAATTAAATTGGTCATTTTCAATCTACGACTGTTTGTGGGACATTGCTGTGCGCAATTGGCTGCCGCGTTCGCCCACAAATATACAGTCAATTCACTTTACAGTGTGTTCTGTGAAGCGCTTTGGGACGTCCTCCTGACGTGAAAAGCGCTATATCAAATGCAAGGATTATTATTATTACGAGCTGCTAATCAGCAACTCCGGATTGTGTGTGTGATTCGGAACGGATCAATTTGATTCGATCTGATTCCGAGATTCACAAAATGACAAACGACAAATCCCTTGATGGCAAAGGTTTAAAAAGAAAAAGTGTGACAAGAAAAATGCTGACAGGAGACAGTTCTGTCTTGCTTGCCAATGGTTTTTTTTCAGACTTCACTGCCTTCGAAATTTGGGGTTCACCCATTTTTAAAAAAAGTCATAATTTGATATTCCTCAATCAAATGTCAAAATCAGTGACTGGAATTCAGTTTGCGAATATCATGTATACAACCCCAATATGGAGACATTTTTTTCCCTTTACAAAACCCTATCTCATTGTCCACTCTTAAGTTTAGCTCATAACACCCAGAGACTATAGCAAGTAATACAGGAATCAACTATAAGGACTTAGACATCTGTAAGATTTATATGCAATAAGAAGATTTTGATAATTATAATGGAAATTACTTTTTAATGTTAAAGTATGATCTATAAATAAATACTAATGTTGAAATTGGTTTTCTGTTTTTTTTTAACCCAAAAGTTATATGAGATAATGCTTGCTCACTGTTTAGTTATTTGTAATATCCTATTAATAACAGTGTAAAAACTTGATATTAATAACACTTTAACACTGGTAAATTATTTAACTTTGATTTGTATAGCGCCCTTCACGTCGAAAGACATGAAGAACACTTTACAAATATAATTTGTTGTTGTTGTTTTATTTTGATAACGTTGATATTGTTTTTAAATTGATTAATGTTTTCCATATGTTCTATGCTTAAAATAGAATGAACAAAGGGGGCAAAAATTCATTGTTCGCATATTTGCAGTCTTTGCGACAAAGAGTTTGTTGTCCTTCAACATAAAACGTTTATATTTCAACGGATGTCTTTCATTTTCTGTTTCAGTGCCTGGGCACCCATGCAAAATAAATAATGGTGGTTGCAGCAACCTTTGCTTGCTCTCTCCAGGCGGAGGACACAAATGTGCTTGTCCCACAAACTTCTACCTTGCTTCAGATAGCATGACCTGTCTGTCCAACTGCACTGCAAGTCAGGTATGATGCACCTCTGCTTAATTGCTATCAACATCTTAATTGTTCAACTTCTCAACTTCTCCATTATTGTAGCATGCGACTACTGGGACAGTAGAAGGTGGACTAGATGGACCTTGGTCTTTTTTGGTCTACATTTCTGTGTCGCTATATTCCTATGCTATTTCCTATCTTAATGGCGCGTCAATGAAACTCACTATTTGTATGTGTCAGAGATAGGCTTTCTAGGTGTTGGTAGCTTTTGTATGAATGTACAATAACAACATGCAAGTGTTGCTTACCATATCTACTCACTGATTTATTTTCTTAGTATTGGCACTAGTGCTGATTGTTACAGTGCCCCAGGCAGTGACACTGAGTTATACCGACAAACATAAGCCCTATTTTGTCCAGATATTAGGCTCAAAAGCTCCCTGTGGAAGCCATTGAACCAGCTTGAGGTCCCTTTTGAACCGGCCACCCCACGAATTGCAGCATTTCAGGGTCTGTTCAAGGAATGTCAGCCAAAAATCTTTAAAATAGGAGTTAAGTTATTCTGTGAACTGACGTTGAAACCAGCAGGTCCAAGAGTGCAACGGACTGTCTCGATGGACTGCCAAAAGCAAATTTGAGCCCAATCATTGGCATGAAGTCAGGATTGTAGTCACTTTGGCCAGTTAGCAGCTGTGACATTGCCAGGAGCAGAAATTCCTTATACGGTTTTCCTTGAGGCCAACTCATAAATTAAAAGCACCCTAAGTGTAATGACTAAAATGGTATTTGCATTAAAAACACATTTGTGAAGGTTGTTAATTTAGTGGCAAGACAAATTTCACCTTCACAATGCTATAGTGCTCATTTTCCAAAGCTCAGGCTTCAGGTTATGGTTGCAAATCACCCTGGCCTTTGCTCTCTGGTCTAGCCATTGACTCCTTTTGTGAGATTACGAACTTGTAGCTTTCTCCTGAGTATCCAAAGCCCTGTCTATAAATAAAGCAGAGTTGTGTCAAAACATTCAACCCTGCGAGTCTGTGCTCAAAGCTACATTTCCTTTCCCACTTTGTTTTGGGGAAATTTACATTTACATCCTCACAATAGTTATATCATTTGTGGGACACTGCTCTGCACAGTTGGCTGCCACGTTTTGCCCACAAACTATACAATCAATTCACTTTATAGTACATTCTGTGAAGCACTTTGAGACGTTGCCAAGATGTGATAAGGCGATATATCAAATGCAAGGATTATTATTAGCAGTAGTAGTATTATCGAGCATCAATCTAGGTATGTAAACAATGCTTAAAAATACATTTTATTTCTGTTTGATCTGAGACCTGAGGACTAGGAAACATTCTTATGGCTGAATACATGCTGCAAATAAGAGACTGATGAACAAACCAAAATGTACCTGGTGATTTGTAGCCCCACAAGAGTGGTAGCGATGAGCTGTACTATTTACCTGATTGCGCAATTATATAATTTTAACAGTCAGTCAGTATGTAATATCATTGTACTTTACAGATACCAGGGGAAAATAATAAGTATATGGTTCACATGTCGAAGCCAAGTGTATAATTTGATGGAGTAGAATAGTATTATTTAGCAAACATACCACTCTCTAGTTTGTATTCACAATGACAAATCTATTTCCATAGAATCACCCAGTTAGAACATCCCGTATTTAACAATTACTGCGCAGTTTGAAGAGGTTCATGTTGTGTATTTAATTATCCCACAATCCAACTGACTGCCAAAATTTCAATAAATAAGATTATATAAAAGGCTCTCACCCAAATAAGCACACTACACTACCTTTGTGAAACTTCAGCACACAGCCTGCAGCTGATGCCGTCCCACTGATCGCTCGCTCCTGGTCTCTGCGTCTGCGTTTTGGCTGCTGCCCCAACCCGAGCCTCCCCCTCCTTTCTAAATGTCTCTCCTCCCACCCCCCTCTGTGTCTCTCATCCCACCCCCCTCTATCCGCTACTCCCCCTCTGTCCTTCTCTCCAACCGCCCTCCGCGCCTTCTCTCTCTCCTTGACCCCATCACCACTTCCCTCTGCTCCAGCCTGGGCAAGGTAAACCCAACTTCCACCTCCCTCATACGTACCCTCCCCAACTCTCCACTCACACCACTCTGCACAACCATCTCTCCTGTACACCCCAAAATCCTCTCCGCATCACTCTCTCCTCTCTCCCCTCCCTCCAGCAAACCCACCCGCATTTCCCTCCAAAATGTCCGTTCCCTCTCAAATAAAGCCCTCACCATCCACGACCTCATCCTGGATGAGTACCTTGACATTCTTGGGCTCACAGAAACCTGGCTCTCCCCCAATGACCCAGTCCCCCTAGTTGAAGACTTCCCTCCAGGCCACACCTTCCACCACACCCCCCATCCAAACCAACGTGGCGGCGGAGTGGCCTTCATTTCCAAAGCCTCCCTTGGTCTTAGCCCCTACTTCTCTGGCTGCGTCCCCTCCTTTGAGCACCTCACCCTCTTCCACCCCTCTCTCCCATTGAAAATCCTCCTGGTCTACCGCCTCCCTAAGCCCCCTGGCTCCTTCCTCACAGACACCTCCACTCTCCTCTCTTCCCTGTCCCTCTACTCCAAACACCTGCTCATAATGGGTGATTTCAACCTCCACCTAAACTCCCCCTGCACTACTTCTGCCAACTTCACTGCCCTCTTCTCCTCCCTTAACCTCACCCTTCATATAAACTCACCTACCCACAACCGTGGTCATCCCCTTGACCTCGTTATCACCCACGGCCTTCACATTTCTGACCTCAGCATAGTGGACAAGGCCATCTCAGACCACTTCTTCATCTCCTTCTCCTCTCACATCCCTCTGTCCTCCACCAAGCCTTCAACCATCCTCTTCCGCCCTTGGAAAAGGCTACTCCCTGAGACCCTCACAAAGGCCCACACATCATCAAACATCCTATCCCTCTGGCCTTCCACCCGTGGAGATCCTGAAACAGCCGTCCAGCTGCTCCATGATCGCCTCTCCTCCACTTTCAACTCCCTCATCCCCCTAAAATCCAGGACCATCTCCAAACCCACCTGATCCCCCTGGTACAACTGCCAAACCCGGTTGCTCAAGCGCAGATGGCGGAAAACTGGCCTGACAGTTCACCGCTAACTGTGGCTCGAACATCTCCGCACACAAAAACGGCCTTCTACTCCAACATCATCTTGGAGGCTAAACATAACCCGAAAATCCTCATTTCCACCACCCACTACCTCCTCCCTGACCCCCCTCAGGCCTCCTCAATCTTCATATCAAATGCCAAGTGCAAGGAGGTCATGCACTTCTTCTCTTCTAAAATACTTAACATCCGCCAGGCAGCCTCATCCACCTGCCACTTGTCACCCACCACCATGCCCTCTCTGTCCCCCTCACCCTCCCCATCATCTGCTGCTACCACCACCCCCATCCTACATTCCTTCATCCCCATCTTCCCCTCCTCCCTCTCACCCACCATCACCTCTATGAAACCCACCACCTGCTGCTTCGACCTTCTCACCACAAACTTGCTGGTCACACAGCTCCCCCTCCACTGGCCACTACTTGCTGACGTCATCAAACAGTGCCTCTCCTATGGATCAGTCCCTGCCCCCCTCAAAACTGCTGTCATCACCCCCTTCCTCAAAAATCTTACCTATATCCCATAAACCCCAGCCACTACCATCCTATTTCTAACCTGCCCTTCCTCGCAAAAGTCCTAGAACGCGTTGTTGCCAATCAACTCCGCGCACACCTCTCCTCCCACTCGATCCTTCGATCCCATCCAATCCGGTCACAAACAACATCCTCTCTATCTGTGACCAGGGCACCCTCTGCCTCCTTGTCCTCCTGGACTTCTCCGCGGCATTCGACACAGTCGCAGCAAATGACTTCTTCTCCAGTACCATCTTCTGCGGTGTTCCTCAGGGCTCTGTCCTCAGTCCCCTCCTCTTCACCCTCTACATGCTCCCCCGTGGTGACATCATCCGCAGACATGGGGTGAATTTTTACATGTATGCGGATGACACCCAAATCTATCTCTCTGCCTCCACCCTCAACTCCAGGACTACTGGTGTCCTGACCGACTGCCTGTCCGACATCAAGTCCTGGATGAAGGACAACTTTCTCCAACTCAACATCAGCAAGACCGAGGCCCTCCTGATTGAATCACGCCAATGCCTCCGCACCTCAGGCACTGGCAGCATCAGCCTCCACGGCTGCACACTCAACCTCATTAAGCCAATCAGGAACCTGGGTGTCTTGATTGACCCTGAACTGTCCTTTCTCCCCCACATCCTCGTCATGCCCGGCACTGCCTACCACCACCTCCGCAATATTGCCAAACTCCGCCACTTCCTCAGGCCTCAAGCTGCCGAAACCCTCACCCACGCATTCGTCACATTAAGGCTCGATCACGGAAACTCCCTCTTCATTGGCCTTCCCAACTCTTCCCTTCACAAGCTGCAGATCATTCAAAACCCAGGCTCTGTGACCCCATCACTCCCACCCTCACCCGACTCCACTGGCTCCCCATCCCCCAAGGATCAAGTTCAAGATCCTCGTCCTCACTTTCAAGGCCATCCATGGCCTTGCCCCTTCCTACCTCTCTGACCTGCTGACTCCCTATCAACCTGCCCGCTCCCTCCGTTCAGCGGGCTCCCAGAGTCTGCTCCATGTCTCCTGCCTGACCTGCCCTACCATTGATTGCCGAGCTTTCAGTCTCTCTACCCCCACACTCTGAAACTCCATCCCATGGTCCCTTCGCCTCGCTTCCTCCTTTGCCTCCTTCAAGGCCGGTCTCAAGACCCTTCTCTTCGACTGTGCCTTTGGTCTCCCTCCCACCTCTCTGCCTTCCCTCACCCCTACACCACCCCTCCCCCATGCTCGGGCCCCGACACCTGACTGTTCAGTGCTTTAGGATGTCGCTCCCTTGTTGTTGTTGATGTACTGTCTTAAGGAAACGACAAACAAATACAGCAAATTATATTCCTGTGTCATATTTAAAGAATGACCACTTGGGTAAAACAAGAGGGTTGCTAGAGCCTCAAGAAAATAGTAGAAATAATAATAAAAATAATTCTTACATTTGATATAGTGCCTTATCACGTCATTAGCACTTCACAGAATATGCTGTAAAGTGGAGTGACTGTTTTTTGTGGGCTAAAATTAAAGTTAAATTGCACACCTATAGAAGATGTCAATCTCACAAGAATTGGGAACAAGAAGCTTCAGGATGCCTTGTAGGTGCTTTGAACACAAGCTGTCGAGGGGGCATTTAATTTGCCTTCATATTGCACGTGGCATCTCTTTCCTAACTCTTTATCATGGTTAAATGACAACGCATGATTCAAGCATGTGGAGTCCTGGAGCTCAGTGGTTAGAGCGCTCGCCTTGCAAGTGAGAGACCTGGGTTTCATTCTCAGCAGGGCAAAACCTTTGGCAAGTTTCCTTACTCCACATGCCTGATAATAATCCCTCAAGAAAAAAATAATAATAAATTGGTCACTTCAATCCACAACTGTATGTGGGACACTGCTGTGCGCAATTTGGCTGCAGCATTTCGCCCACAAATATGCAGTCAATTCACTTTACAGCATATTCTGTGAAGTGCTTTGAGACGTCCAGAAGGCGTGAAAAGCGCAATATCAAATGCAAGGATTATTATTATTATTACTTTCTCTAATCATTGATTTAAACTGTGCAATGTTTAAGAATATTGACTAATTGTGTGGCTTATGTATAACCCCAACAGTTTGTGTGCAACAACGATAAATGCATTCCATTTTGGTGGAAATGCGACACAGAAGATGATTGCGGCGATGGGTCAGATGAGCCTGAAGATTGTCGTAAGCACATTTAATCATTTTTTTCACCAACGCTTTTATTTATGAAAGTCATATCCAGTTAATGATATGTACAGCTCCATCTCTGCCATATCAGGAGAATATCAAATAAGGCCATTTGTTAACAAGCAAAATGTAGCTTTGGGACATTTCTGTGTGACATTGTGTACCAGTGTTACACTTATCTCGGTGCTAATTTGTAGTTATTGTCATCTGCATTGCCAGCAACTGTGTAAGTGTGTCAATATGTTAATACGTTCATTAATAAAAGAAAGTGTAGTAGCTATAAACTGTAAGTGAGAATCTGTTGTTCCTTTTATGAACCTTTGAAGCAACTGCAGTGTTAATTGAGCAGATAGTGGAATTAACTTACAACTCCCTTGCATGCTTCCCTTGCCTTTTTAATTAGAAGAGTAATCACTATACATCTAGTGCATGGTAGTTCTTTTTAAAAAAAGGGCCAATAAAAACTTCATGAAATACTTATCTTATTCCTTGAACTGCTCAGCTGAATTTAAATGCAGACCAGGGCAATTCCAGTGTGGTACTGGGATCTGTACCAAACCTGCCTTCATCTGTGATGGTGAAAACGACTGTGGTGATAATTCTGATGAAGCAAACTGTGGTAAGTATTAAAATCGTTTTAGCTTTAATATTCATAATAACCATGGTTGCACTTTTTTCTCCCAATGTGTGATTTCAATACAGCATTTCACCCCTCCTCTCCACCATTGGTGGCCGTGCCTTCAATCACTACAGTCCAAAACTCTGGAACTCTTTTCCTCAATCCCTCCTCCTTGCCCCCTTCCTCCCCATCTTCAAATCCCACCTGAAGACTTTCCTTTTTGATCTTGTTTATGGTCACCTCCCCCTTTCCGCTCCCCCTGGCTCTACGTCAGACTCTGCCACTGTCTAGCACTGTGGGACGCTATCCCGTGAGAAGGGCGATATATCAATGCAAGTTGTTGTTGTTTCCTTTAGAGACACATGTTTGCCTTCCAAGTCAGTTCAAGTGTTCACAGAAGAGGAAATGCATCCCAATCATCTTCAGGTGCAACGGCCAGGATAACTGTGGTGACGGCGAGGATGAAACAGACTGCCGTAAGTTTCTGTCTTTCAGAGATTAGCTTTAATTTTATTCGATTTTACGAATCGCAGCCTGGGCTGTTCAATAGCTTAATCAGGTAGATAATGAATGACCCGTCGTTTTGTTCTGTGCGACATTTTCCATAACAGGATGGAGTGACGTGGCAGTTACTGGTGTCAGACATTGTTACACTCGACTCATCTGCAATAGAAAATAAAAATTCATTGTAAAAAAAAACGGTGGGGGGTCAGTAACAGGACTTTGTGAACAATGTGGCTTCACTGACACTAACACTGTTTAGCAGGAGTTTAAAGTTTTACAAGAGGAAGCGAGAACATTGGTAATTAAAATCTTAGCTTAGCAATAATTGTAATAATTCTTGTATTTGATATAGCATCTTTCACATCAGGAAGGCATCTCAAAGCACTTCACTGGATACCTATAAAAAGTGCGATTTAAATGCAGCACTGAAGGGAATGATCAATTTTATTTTGAGGTTAATAAAAGTATTTTAAACAAATGATTGTTGTAAAGTGTATTTAAACAAAGTTAGGACAGTGTAAAATAGTATCTGTCATTGTATCCAGTATACTGACTTTGTTATGGCCAATATTTATAGAGCAATCTTGAAAATGTTTAAAAGAGTGAGATATTTATGAAGCTGTGATCACAAAACTGGGTCTTTGGTGTGCCTGATAATAAAATCCACTGGCCACACCATGCTCTCGTCTCCTCCTGTTAATGCAACATAAAACGCGCTGAAAAGTTTTTCAGAACTTACGATACTCGCCCCTAATTTTTTGTATTTAATAGTGAATACCAATGACCTCAGTGAAAATGCTTTAATTTCACAAATCATTTTCTTGTACTAGTTGATGGAGCTTGTGGTTCTTATAAATTTTTGGATAACGTCTGCCATGTTGACAGTTTTCAGAAGTTTGCGGATAATACATAACGATCATAACATAATGGGAATTACTGGTTATATATAAAGGGTCAACCCATAACTGCTGCATATAATTGCAGATACAGTAGTGTATATTTTTACAAAATTCCTCACCGTTTATGGCACTCACGATTAAATTTCAAGCAATTATAGATTTTAAGATCTAAAGTAAGGTCATTTAGCTGCATTGCAAAACATTCATCAACTCATCCTTCAATCGGGCGGAATAATGGGGCTCCTGCAGTTCAGTGAACATTTTAATATGTGATTTAATTCAATTCTTTGAAATGTGTCTCTTGAAAGCGTTTTAATCTCGGGGTCTGAGTTTGCACTTCAGTCATGCTTCCAAATATTTCTTGGATTCTGTATTGTGTTATCCAGCATGAAAATTGTGCACAGAATCATTTTGTCGATGATATATTGGCTAAGACTCGAGCATAAACTGGAAACTGCTGAGGAAAGTGATCAGTTAGAACATTCGCAACTGAAGTTGGTTAAAAATAGACTCAAAATGTATGGTTGAATTCAAGCAATTTAAATGGAAACTCGTTATCATGGAACTTAGCTTGAACGATGTTGTCCAGAATTGTAAGCCTCCGATTCACATCAGTGATCATCCAGCTATTATTTGTACATACTGTATACCAAATGATAAATAGCTTTAATTTAACTCAAATGCTTTTTAGCAGAGTAAGTCATTTACAAAGCCACGATATGTTCAGGAATTATGACTAGATTCAATCTTGCTGTGCATTTTCTGCAAGCTTTTATTTACATGACTTCAGCGATAATGTGCTCATGGGCATTTTTTAACCTTCTCCCTAGCTGAGGTTACCTGTTCACCAAACCAGTTCCAATGTGCAATCACCAAACGCTGCATTCCTGAAGAATGGGTATGTGACAAAGACCATGATTGTGCAGATGGATCTGATGAATCTAATTGCAGTAAGTACTAATGAGAAAGTTAAATGGTTAATGAATGACTATATATCATTACTAGTTATATTTTGGATCAGAATATTTCAGCACAGTGATGATCAAATAAACTTTTTAATTTCAAAGGATGTAGACATAGATTCAAAAATATAGACAGATAGCTACAATTCAGTAGCATAAAGGTTTATTAGCAAAAACACTTCTTCAACATGTTTTATTAAGGGTTTTAATTGATTTTTTTCCCTGACAGCTAAATTATAGTGTTACAATCAATACATAAAGCATTTTGTGGGGCTGTGTGATAAAATCTTAGGAGGTGTAATGAACATAATACAATTTATATTTACATAATGCCTTTTACTTTGAGAGGATGTCTCAAAGCACTTCATTTACTAATTTACTAATGAATTTACTAATTTACCAATTATCTAAGAGAGTAGGATTTATAAATGGGGAACATATATATTGATGTGTGAATTCTGTAGGCAATTTGGCTTCTCTTTCTCAGTCTGTCAAGGGCCAATGTAGATTTCAAGTGTGTGTGGGATAAGATCCAAAATGAATAGCTATTACTTTTAGTAATTCATGATGCTCAGGTTTACAGTGATAGCAAGCTTTTTCTGCTTGCTGGATGTTTACTAGCAAGGAGTAATAGAAAGGATGAAAGAAAACAGCAAAGACACTTTTTGTAAGTAGCAAAATGAGGAATTAAGTCTGAAATTTTCTGCTACAATACCTGAAGATAAAAACAGCTAATGATGGCTATGTGGAATATTTGATGGTAATATGTAATGGGAGACGAAATCACATTCGTGATGGGAATGTGACCACTCTGGAGCATGCACTTGAGAAATAATAAATATCATTGGCAATGCCTGAGGTAAACATTCTGTAATTGTTTGCATACGTAACTGTTTGCATCTTCTCATGTTAAAGGCTTCCAATTCTTAATGTTCAACCTTCGACTGATGTGTAAGACTTTGGATAGCTTAGATGTTTTCATACAGACTGATAAGTGTCTGTGTTGTGTTCTAAGACTTAATTGACTCTCCTAATTATAATTTCCTTTAATAGAGGTGGCAAATTAATCAGAGGTTTTCAATTCTGCCAGATATGAATTTCTGAAAATACATAATTAAGACGTGAAGCAGAGACCTTAATAGATCTCCAGATTATCCGTCAAAATGGATCTATAGAAGCTATGGAACCCAAGCTATATCTTGTCACTTTATAGCACATTGCAACAATATAATGCATCAATGGTCAGTGCTGTTTTGCTCACTAATTGAAGAATTTTGTTAACTCGAATATTTCTGCACCCATAGTTTTTAGCAAATAACTGAGATAAAAAACGTGAGCAACAATTGTAACTTCTCTGATGTGGTTCAAAGTCTGATAACAAGGTCTTCTTCCACTTGCCACAAGCACGCAGCTGTGATAGCTCCAGCAGAGCAGTCATTAAAAATGTCTCGAAGCACTAATTAAAAAAGTTGGAGGGAAAAATAGTCATAGCAGGATTGGGGAGAAAAATATCAATTAAGTTAAGAGCAGATCTAACTTTAGATGTCATTGATGGCCAAATAGTAGTGTGACAAATGTACTTTGGGGATGGAATAACATTCAGACTGAAGTGTTTGTTTTATTTTCATGTACTACCACAGTAAGGGGAATGGGCAGCCTTGCTGTACAGAGGCATTGAGTATTAATGTGTAAGATTGACTAACCTGCTTTTGAACACAGGCCTTTCGTGGTAGAAACTCCCTTTGCACTGTATTACGTGACTATTATTTTGAATGCACAGTCACTGAATGAACATAAACATAACCAATCTATGAGAAGAATATAAGTATATTTTCATAAAATATTAATATTGTAATATCGTAGTCAGCCCTTCGTTCCCTTAATCCCCAAGGAAGCAAATTAAAATCACACTAGACTTCAGAGATGCTTTTCTAGAACCACCCAGAAGGAAGAATAGACGTTTCACAATCGAATCATGCTTAGTTATGAGCTGTTTAAATGCAGAGCCAACCTTGAAAATAACTTAGAATTGTAATTGCAGAATAGCTCTGAATTATCGTGGCAAGTCTTTAAATATGTATTTGAGCTTTCACAATGTGCAAATGTTGTTTCCTTTATAGTTACAGATTCAATTAGTTGAATGGCCGCCTATTTCTGTGTTCCCTCTGATGTTTAGGGATGTTTAGTGATGAGTGATTCCACAGAAAGCATATTTGACAGTCGTTACATAAAACATATATGTATAAGAACTCCTTCTGCATGTTATATTATATAATATATATTATAATATATATTTCTAGAATATATTATATATTTATATAATATATATTATATATAAAGCATATATGATGGGAAAATCACACTGTTAGATTGAGAGAAACATGGCCAGCATAATTTAGACTTCATTCTGCATTTACTCTGTCTTGCAAACGTTTCTGCTGCTTTTCCAGCCGGGGACAGCATTACTATTAAGGCTTTGGCTTAAAGGCTTAATAGAAGCTGAGAGGGAAGAATCCAATTTGGCATCTGCAAGTTTGATTTTAACTAAAAGAAATTTGATGCTGGCTTTCTTGAAAATCCTTCAATCCTTCACAATGGGTAGGAAGAGAATTTCATTTAACTTTGGATGTACTGAGCTGGAGAGGAATCATGAAGTAAGTTCATCACAGTCCAATGGAGAAGACTTTTCACTTCCCACAGTGATTCTTTATTGACTCAATGTGTGGCTGAGGTTTTGGCCTTTACTGGAAAACAGTTTAATAAAATAGCAATATGGCAGAGAAATAATCTAAATAATTGTCACAAATAATGGAAAGACATGGGTGGCTTCTATTTAAGTATAAAAAATGAGTCTGGCAAATATTAGTAAATTCTTGTGACCTAAAGTTCCCCAGAACTGATTATAATTAAAAAAATTAACAGAAGCTGCTATAGAAATATAATATGAATGTTCTAAGAATATCTCGTACAAATTTGATGATTTGTTTCCAAACAGTTAAAAAGCTAAGTGATCCAATTTGATCTACTTGTACATTGTTAATTTAAAAAGGTTTTCAGATTTTCTGGCACCTATACTTAAGCAGATTTTAAGAATTCAGCAACATTTTTAGGTTAGAACTTTTCTACAAACTGTGAACAGTTTGGGTTGCACTCACAATATAAACCGACATGCACTCTAGACTCACGTCCTTCTATAAAACGAATCATTGTGCCTCCATTGATGAATCCTTTCTAAAGATGTTTTACATCGACCTATTTGACTGCATGTGTTTAGCATGTTAAATATGTTTGGAGGAGATAATTTAGTAAGTTGTAGCTGATCTCCAGATCTTCATGCACCAATGGGCTTAGTGGTCACGAAAGGTGTGAAGTGATAATTGCATTCTGTGGTGCCTAATTATTGGTGTTGATGATCACATTACTGATAAGTGGAAACAGTTCAAAACTAAAGTGGGTTGTTCTGATATGCATATGCTGTGGTACTTCAGTTGTGTTCACAGATAATGGTATCAGAATGCCTGTGTGCTTCACCTCAGCAGAGCTTCATGACATGTTTTAAAAGTCATCCTTTCTACTTAATTCACAGCCAATTTGCTATGCAAACAATCTTAACAAAAAAGCTGAATTTCACTTGCTTCTTTCAGAGGTTATTGGAGTGAGATGTGGTGTCATACTGTTTACTGCTGTAATCAGTTAAAATATCTTTAAGTACCAACTCATTTTCATTCCTCAGGGACAGCGTATTCTTAAACGGTTCTCAATATGTTATTTATAAATAGATGTATTTATTGTAATGCTGTGTTTACGCTGCTGGAAGCTAAGTGATTATTTCTTCCAGCAATAAAATGATTAGAATCAGGCAGCCTAATCACAAGAGAGGTTCAGATAAAAGCCTTTCAGCCCATTGGATGTCATCTTTCCAGAAAGCCCAACTCTCCCAGTACAGCAAGCATCAATATGTTTTATTAATCTATTGTCCTGGCTTCCACCGCACTTCCAACACGCTTTCTGGTAACCTGTTCCAGCTATCGATTACCTTCTGTGTAAAGAATTGCGTAGCATTTCACGATACGATTCACCACAAGCCATTAATTCAGCATAAGATCTTAGAAATCATTCAAGTTCTTTATTCAAAATGTAATTGGTTTTAATTTGAAATAAATCTACATTATTTTGTCTTGAGCTTTCCTCCCTTCGCCTCCCTGCCCCCTTCGAACCCCCCCAGGAATTGTATCTTAAAAATCAGCAGGCATATTAGTAACGAAAATTAAATATGGAAAGGTTGGAATCATTGATTGAACTCTTCAGTTTAATGCCTATGGGACAAACATTTGGCTCAACCTTTTTCGATAAACGACCACAATTTCAGGAGAGATAGTTTCAAGTATGCACTGTTATGTTCTTATATCAATTTATTGCTATGCCCTGTTGAACTTGTATCTGCTTAATTAGGCCAATAACTTTAACTGGACATTGTCTTGATTCCCCTGTCAAGTCTCTTATGCAAAGTCAACATGTACCGTTCAAGCTTATTATTTCCTTATGTAAAGTAGATACTTAAATGATTCCTATCCAATATAAAAATGGCTTGATTTGGATTATCCTTAGTAGATGTATGGGAAAATATCATGTTCAATTCCTTGTTTAAACATTGTAGAGCAAGTTTATTTTGAAACAATGAATATGTCTGCAATCATGCTTTTCTTGAAAGTAATTTGATACCAAGCGCAGGATCATTTTGTTCACGTTTGGTCACAAGGTGGCTTCTCTTTGAAATGTTTCTAGTATGGAAAGGTTAACAAAAGAAGAGGAAAAACAAAACCACTTTCTAGTTTGTATTTTACCCCTACAAGGTCAATAGGTTTTCAAAATCTGTCTGTAACATGTTGTGCTCAGATGGAGTGCACTGTCGCAAACGCTGCCTGTGCTATAATATAAGTATTGATTCCTGTGATGCGATTAACTGTAATGCTGTTGAGTTTTAGAGCGGTACTGTTAAAACAAAGCACTTGGAGGTATGTATTTGTTGTTGATCCTCAAGCATTCATTTTGCACTGCTAAATGAATTAATCTGGGACATATAGAGTGCTAGTGTTCACCTTTGTGCTAAGAGAAAGTCAAATAGAGTAAACAGATAGGAAATAAATATCAGGAATGTTAAGAGAGAGTCATATGAAGATGGACAGCACATAAAAAACACAGCCAAAAACAGCTACAGATTTGATCAAAAACGACTCGGAGCAAGGTATAATCATAAAGCACAGAAAAACCTGTAGTCACATCCTGGGAGAAAGATTGAATCAATGGAAAATTTGAGATTAGAAGCAAACAAAGACCAACGTTAAGGAAAGTTGCTGTAAAATCTACAATAAGAGAAAATGAACATGGAAAGCTTCATAAGTCCATGATCTGTTACAGTGCCATCTGTCAATCAATCATATATCACTTGGATGAAGGCTTCATTGTGCAACTATGTGAGAGAGCAGATGGGGTTCAGAGGTTGCTGTACCTTGTGACAGAGTTACATGATTGGTTTATAGACATTGTCAATAGTACATCTTTTTGTTTTTACAGCCCAATTTTCAAATTGGGAAAATTGCAAGGTGTGTTTACATCTTGAGCTCTTTTTGAGTTCAAGGCTTGAGTTACCTTTTGTGTGAGATGTTTAATGTTTAATCAAATAGAAAGTGGAAGAAATTTAACTTTAATGATGTATATAATTCCATTTTGGAAAGGGTCTATTAATTTCTTTATTGATGAGTTATTACTGGAGAAGGGATTGGGGGTGGGGGGAGAGTTACGAATTGAGATCAATGATGTGAAATTTTGGCTGACAAAGCAAGCAACAGACAAAGGAACTTTCTTCCTTTATATTGAATAATACCATGAAACAGCACAATAGGTGGTGTGGCAATGAGTATGTGATATTATAATGCGGATTATTTTGATGTTGCGCTATAATACTACACTGATGTGAAATATGACTGATTTCCCAAGAAACATACAATACTTGTATTTCTTATTCTGCATAACTGTTTATGGATCCTAAACAAAAAACAACTTGCATTTATATAGCACCCCTTCACGCAGGGCAGCATATCGTAGCGCTTAACAGTGGTGGAGCTTGACACCGAGCGGGGAGGGGGAGGAGATGACCGTAAGCATGTTCGAAGAGGAAGGTCTTCCAGTGTAATCTAAAAAAGGGAAAGGAGAGGACAAACGGAAGGATTGGGGAAGAGAGTTCCAAAGCTTTGGGGCAAATAAGTCTAGGTCAAATCAAAATGTGAGTTTACCTGACAATTTAGAACAGGTTGACTTGTCATAACAGCATATTTACCAGCAACATGATTAATATGACTTTAAATAAATGTGAACAACAAGAACAACAACAAAATTACATTTGTATAATGCCTTTCACATTGGGATGATGTCCCCAGGAGCTGGACAATCAGTGTTTCGGTCCTAAGTTGGAGGTCGGGATAGGATAGGGTGGAGGGCAGGGAGAGAAGGAGGGTGACCGAAGGCACGGTTAAAGAGGAGGGTCTTGAGACATGTCTTGAAGGAGGCAAGGTTGGGGGCGAGGTGGAGGAACTGTAGGATGGAGTTCCAGAAGGTAAGGGTAGAATAGCAGAAGGCCCACCTGCCAATCGTGGAGCCAGCAATGCAGGGGACATGAAGCAGGCCAGAGCCTGCAGCACGGAGTGAGCGAGGAGGTTGGTAGGGGATTAAGAGGTCGCAGAGGTAGGGGGGAGCAAGGCCATGGAGGGCTTTGAAAGTGAGGACCAGGATCTTGAACTGTATCCTATGCATGATGGGAAACCAGTGGAGTTGGGCGAGTATAAGGATGGGTTCGTGGAACCTGGTGCGGGAGAGGACATGGGCTGCAGAGTTCTAGATTATCTGCAGCCTATAGAGGGAGGAGTTGGGGAGGCCAACAAGCAGGGAGTTGGCATAATTGAGCCTTAATGTTATGAATGAGGGTCTCGGCGGCCTGCGGTGTGAAACAGTGGCGAAGCCGGGCAATATTGTGGTGATGGGGGAATACAGATCAGGCGTTGGGTCAAACAAGGTGCCAAGGTTCCGGACTGGCTCAGTGAAGTGTGGTGTGCATCCTTGGATGGTGTCAGTGCCTGAGGCGTGGAGGCGCTGACGGAAGCCAATCAGGAGAGCCTCGGTCTTGTTGATGTTCAGCTGTAGAAAGTTAGCTCTTATCGAGGAGTTGATGTCTGACAGACATACTTTCAGAACTGCAGTAGTCCTGGAGTCAAGGGAACATGAAGCAGGCCAGAGCCTACAGTGCGGAGTGAGCGAGGATGTTGGTAGGGGTTAAGAGGTCGCAGGGGTAGATTTGGGTGTCATCCACATACACGTGGAAGTTGTCCCTATGTCTGCGAATGATGTCACCAAGAGGGAGCATATTGATGCTGAAGAGGACGGAACCAAGGACAGAGCCATGAGGAATACTGCACAAGATAATGCAGGGGCTAGAGGAGAAGCCGTTGGTGAAGATGAAGTGGAGACGAAGTGAGAGGTCGGATCTGAATCATTCAAGGACAGAATCATGAAGGTTGAGGTGAAAGGAGAGGCGGTGGATGAGGATAGAATGGTCAATGGTATCGAAGACAGCAAAAGAGGTCTAGGGGGACAAGGAGGCAGAGGGAGCCCTGGTCACAGAAGGCAGCAGAGAGGTCCAGAATGCCTTACTTTATTTATACTTTCCATAATATTGAGGGTTTTATATATAAATGTAATCTTGTTGTTTTATATACAGGTTTGGCTGATTTTTTCCCCCCTGTACTAAACACTCACCAGAGCAGTTCAGCAGTTTAGAGAAATAGCTTCCCAAATTTTCCCTCCAGAACAAAAAATTGTGATACCTGTGAAATTATTCTACATTTTTTAAAAAAAATCCCTTCAATGTGAGTTATTTTAAATAAATATGCCATTTGTTGATCAAAATTCGATGGTTTATCTTCCTCCAGCAGAGATGGCAGCAGTCAATGCAGTCATTCTGCCACTGAGATAATCTGACCCGTGAAGGAGATATGATGTGGGAGAGAACTTTATTATTTGTGTGTTATTCAGTGAGTCTTCCTCACTCTGGTAGCCATATTTTTTTACTTGAATTCCTTTTCTGACAGCAATGTCCAAGAGTTTAGACAGGATCATCAACCATAGGTTTGGCAACAGAGGAAGTAAAATGCACAGGCTTTTTTTTAATTCCAGTTTTTTAAGCCAAAGATATATAGATTCTTCTCTTTTACAACATCAGCATAAAATACTGATGGAAGTATCCCTGGGAAGCGGAAACATGCTAATGTTTAAACTTCAGGGAACTGGTGCAATGATTGTAACCAAACCTATAACACAAGTTTGAAACTAACTGCTGCTGTGTTTGTAACCCCATCTAAGGTAACAGAATGGAACTGTTGGATTGATATCTTCATATGAGGAATACAGTGCTATTCACTTGTCTTGGACCAATCTCTTACCCTAACATTAAGGTAGCTTTAAGATGCGGACTACATTAATGGCTATTTCTATTCCCTTACATTTTTGATTGATTTCCAGCTCAAATCGCGTGTGGTGAGGATGATTTCCACTGCAAAGGCACAAGTAGATGTATTCCAGCACGTTGGAAATGTGATGGAGAGGATGACTGTGGGGATGGATCTGATGAGCCAAGAGAAGAATGTGGTATGTTTTGATATATTAGTCTGGTGGGAAAAATGTGATAAGCAAATACTGTACATTGATAAGCCAAACCATGATTTTAAAACACATTTGCTTTTAAGATTAATCTTATTGTCAGATCGATGTAGGCGGGAGGGAGATGGCAATCTTTTGTTTGTGGCCTCCACTATTTCCTATGGCAAACACACACACCACAAAAAAAAATTGGATGCAATTAAAATAACTTTTTTTGTACAAAGAACAATTGCTCCTACTTTCCAAAAAACAGCTGGAGAAAACTTTTAGCAATAGAAATGGTAATTAAAAAGTATATAAAGCGAATAGCAACAGGAGTAGATAGAAGGGAAAACCAATAGCTTAGTTAGAATTGTCAAATTCTTTTTGAAAATATATCGTTTGCATAAAATTGTGTTTTGAATGTTTGTTTGAATGGATGAAGGGTAGTATTACAACATAATGTTCATCTTTGCTTCCATTACTCCATTACCTCGAGAGTCTTTCTCACTTTGGTGCAGAATCTTTTTTTGGTTGTTTACGAACACACAACCTGGCAAATTTAACTGAAATGGTTTGTAAATGACTGATAGATAGCTCAGAATAGCAATCCTCCCCACTGCATTTGAATAACAGTAAAGCCATAACATTAATACAGAGCATAAGGATAGCTAGTGTTGCCAATTGACCCATGATAAACCTATTCTGAATGAATCTATGTACAGCGCTGAACTTGATTCTCACCTTCAATGCAAAAAAATGTTAATTATTTAAATCTGACCCACTTCAAATGTGTTCAGTCACACTGTAGTTTACCTTCATTCAGAAACTTGATTTAAATAGCTGAGATTACCATTCCTGTTTCAGCGAATCTCTATAGTATGGGAAACTCCCTCTGGACATCCCACTCTGTGTCTTGAAATTAGATTTTGTTTACGTTTCATCTGTGCATTCTGCATTTGCTTTCATTTCTGACGTCTAGCTAATTTCAGGCTGAATATTCTAAAATATGTTCTACTTTCTTCACTCCAGCGCATGTGTCAGAGCATGAATGATTTGTTCATTGCTTTATACACGTGCTCTGTTGTTAGGAGAATCAAAAGCTCCTTTTGGAATATTATTTCCACCTACTTTATAACCCTGTCAATATAATGTTCTTGTTCATATTATGTCCTGGCCTGGACTGTGACCCCTTGGAGTAACAGCATATAGTTTCAATCACATCCTTCTATAAATTCAACAGCCGGGCAGCCCACCTTCAACCTTTACTATGCACTCTGTCCTGTTATACAAATTGCTGTTAATTCTTTCAATCCCCTTCATAATGCCACACGTTATTGAAATTCTCAACAGTGAGAGTCTTTTGTACTTTGTCATGGGTTTCCTAAACGTCAATCCATCTCAAGATCAAACGTGTTCCAAAATCAACAGCCTTATGCAGTAGCAGCCTCAAAACGGATATTGAATCTATCCATCTGTAGCTCTTGTGAAACCTGAGCTGCATTCTTGTGCTCCTTCTATTGATTGCTTTATTCCTCAACAGACTCGTGAGATGAGAACACCTTCCCAAGTGTAGTAATCAGTGACAGTTTCCTCCCCTACGAGTCACTTGGTATATCAATGAATGGTAGAGCAATGCATAGTTTGCTTTCTGCTGTTTCAGTGGGAGAAGTAATTTTTTTAAAAAAAATAAGAAATTATAAAAGCTTATATTGTGTCCGATGAATGACAAAAATATAATTTCAAAAAGCTCTTGACTTCCCCTAACTTCCTCACCATAACACTCTGCTCCCCTGTAAGCAGTGACTTATTGCTGGAGTTGGAGTAAGCTGCCATACATAATAGTGGTGCCCCAGTACTTCATCTAAATAGACATTTTTATGTCTAAGTTTGGACAGTGATTGACAACAACCCATTGTAGCTGAGAATTGCATTCTTCTTATCAACACACTTCTAGCAAGGGTTGCTAAAAGCGATCAGGAGCAGAAACTAGACTTATTTCCACACACATACACACCCATGGTAGTCCACAGATGCTAAGGGCAATTGCATTGCACCACTGCTGCCCTTCTGGGATTTATTATCTGTATAGCATTGTACCACATTGTACCATTATATGCTACTTTTACTCCACAGCTAAAGTCCTTTACCTGCAATCCAGCCCAACCTTGAAGCTCCCAGCTCCGTTGGGTATAGTATTGTAGTTGGTCACATTGCAACTCCATCGAGCAACACTGAATGACTTATAGTAATTATAAAGAGCAATCGAAAACAATTGGACAAGGTCTTGCATTTGCATAATGCCTTAAGCATAACAGAATATCCCAAAGTGCTTGACAAATGCATTGGCACAAACTGGATGAGGATTTAAGACTATAAATAATAATCCTTGCATTTCATATAGCGCCTTTCCATGTCATTGAGATGCCTTAAAGCGCTTCACAGAATATATTTGAAAGAGAATTGATTGCATTTTTGGGCGAATGTTAACGAAAGGCATAGTTGAAGGCGATCCACAATTTTAAGTCTGTCCACATTATAATCTCACTGCCCTCTTGGTTGAAGTGGCCAGAGCTTGGAAGAGCTCAGAATTTGTGTGGAAGTTGAAGAGTCTGGAACTTGAAGAGAACTGAACACTGTCTAGAGAGAGTGAAGGGCCAAGGGACACAGAGAGGCATAAGAAGGTTGGCATAGTGGGTAGAGGATAGGAAAAGTTGAGGCAAGAGAAGCCCATAACGCGCAAAGGTGGGTCAGAGTTGGGACACGAAAGGTCCCAAAAGGTAAGAGTTGCCAAGGAGCTGGAAATTGCCAATACATGCAGGGTAATTGTAGTGATAATAATAATAATAGGTGTTTATTGTTAATAGACACTCGGGTCCACAAACCTGAACTGCTTCCCCAAAATGCTCCCACCCCTGTCCTTTACCCTCCACTACTCCCACTTGGTTACACCACCCGGCTACACCTTCCATCATAACCCTCGACCTAACCGCCGTGGTGGCGGTGTGGCTCTCATCTCCCAGTCCCCGCTCGGTCTATCCCCTTACTCCTCCGGAACCTTTCCCTCCTTTGAGCACATTATTCTTCATCACCCCTCCAACCTTTCCCTCAAAATTCTCCTTATCTGTCACCTGCCCAAGCCCTCCCCCACCTTCCTCCCCGACATCTCCACCCTCCTATCTTCCCTGTCCCTCTGTTCCGAACACCTCCTCATCCTAGGCAAATTCAACATTCACTTCACCCCCTCCTGCTCTACCTCTGCTGACTTCTCCTCCCTTATCTCCTCCCTCAACCTCTCCCTCCACATCTACTCTGCCAACTACGTCCGCAGTCACCCTCTCAACCTGATGATCTCTCAGGGCCTCACTGTCTCACACTTCACCATCATCAACAAAGTGATCTTGGACCATCACTTCATTCCCTTAACTCCTCAATCCCTCTCCCCACCCAACTCACCTTCATCTCCTTCCGCCCCTGGAAAAAAATCTCCCCCCACTCCCTCTCCGCTGCCTTTGAGTCATCTGAACTCCTCCCCATCTGGGCTTCCTCCCACAATGACCTATCCTCCTCAATCGTTCTTCTCCACAGCTCCTTCTTCAACACTCTCTATTCCCTTGCTCCCCTCAGTTCCCAATCCATCTCCAACTCACGTAAGTAACCATGGTACACCAGCCACCTCCACTTCCTTAAAGCATAGGAGTGTGCTGCTAAATGCACCCAGTTTAAATTGAACTTAACGGTCCATCGTCAGATCTGGCTGAACCTTATTCAATCTTACCTCTCTGCCCCCACCTCCATTAAATTGTTGTTCTACTCCAAGACAATCTTAGATGTCAAGGACAACCCCAGGCTCCTCTTCTCCATCACAAACTGGCTCCTCTGCTCACCCTCTCACACCTCACCCATCCACACCTCCAATGCCAGCTGCGAGGCGATGCTGGACTTCCTCGAAACCAAAGTCGAGGGGATCCACTCAGCTGCTTCTGTTTACTACCCACTCTCCATCTCCCCCTCACACCCCGGCCCCTACCCATCCCTCCCTCAACACCTTTGAACCTGTCTCCCATTCCTCTCTCACCACCACTATAACCCGCATGAAATCGACCACCTGTTCCCTCGACCTCATCCTTACCCCTCTCCTTACCTCCCAGCTCCACCTCCTTGACTCACAGACATCATAAAACTCTCCCAGTCCCTGGTACCGTTCCCACCCTTTTAAAAATGGCCAGCATCACTCCTATCCTTAAAAAAAACCCTCCCTGGATCTACTCTAAAACTACTGCCTCCATCTCCAAACTCCCTTTCCTCTTCAAGGTCCTGGAATGAGTCGTTGCTTCCCAGCTTCGCTCCTTCCTCTCCCGCCACTCCCTTTACAAACCCCTCCAATCGGGTTTTCGTGTTGCTCACAGGACAGAAACAGCCCTGGTCAAAGTGACAAATGACATTCTGTCCATCTGCGATCAGGGCTCCCTCTGCCTCCTCGTCCTCCTTGACCTCTCTGCTGCCTTCAACACCAAGGATCACGCTATCCTCATCCACCGCCTCTCCTATCATCTCAACCTTCACGGTTCTATCCTTGAATGATTCAGATCATAACTCTCACACCACCTCCACTTCATCTCAACAAACCATTTCTCCTCTAGCCTCTACACGATCTCATGCAGCATTGCTCAGGGCTCTGTCCTTGGTCCCTTCCTCTTCAATATCTATATATTCCTTCTTGGTGACATCATCCTCAGACATGGAGTCAACTTACACATATGGGGATGACACCCAACTGTACCTCTCTGCCTCCACCCTTGACTTCAGGACCACTGCTGTACTGACGAATGAGGTTCTCCTGATTGGTTCCCATCAGCACCTCCACATCTCAGGTGTTCACAACATCACTACCCATGAATGCACACGCCACCTTACTAAACCAGTCCGGAACCTTGGGGTCTTATTTCACCCTCAACTATCCTTTCTAACCCACATTCGTGCCATGATCCGCTCTACCTTCCCCCACC